CAGCTTAACGCGTCCTGCTGATGTTTGTTTACGGTCAACGGATGGACGGTTGTATACTAGTCCAAGTAGTCAAAGCAACATTGATAGTGTTAGTGTAAGTGGCAGCAGTGGTAGCTTAGCTTTTAAGCCTGCATGCCAACTATCCCGCAACTCGTCATTAGCTGTGAATAGTCGGAACATCATTGTGGACAACAATAACGTCAAAGTGGAGGTGAAACCCCATGTATGTATTAATAGCGTAGTTGATGTGAATAATAAACGTGATGGTAACGATAGTGGAATGACTATAGGTAGTGCTGTTTCTTCGGTTGATGTTGCTTATGTAGCTTCTTTGAGTACTTCGGATCAAGAATAATTTGGATGTTTGAGCGTGGAGAATGTAAGCGTCAGTGGCAATAGCTTTAGCAACAGTGATGGCAGTACTGAGAGGGCTAACATTCGGTACCCTAAGTGCAATGAGGAGTCATCTAGGTCTGATGGACATGCTGTTGTGTTGAATATGCAGCATGAGGAATCGAGCATGAAATTGTCCACCTGTCGCACTCCACCATCATTGACTTGTACTACAAGCTTTGGGATGAGCACTACCAACAGTGATAAGATAGAAGAGACTAAGAGCATTCCTAGTAAAGAAAGCAATGTTGGTCGAGTAGAGTTAGCCACTGTGCATGAGTCGACTGGATGTCATGGGAAGTGTACTGATGCTTGTACGGCTGCGGCTACTAATGACAATAGCATTGATGATACTCCTTCGAGCAGTAGTGATCGACGGAAGTTGAAAGACACACATCATCGTCGAAATGATCGTACGTTACGCTCTTATACTGCTACCCAAGCTAAGAAGCATAAGAAACAACATGATGCTACTATTATTAAGAAGCGTAAACTTTGTTCACTTTCGGATGCTACAACTAGCAATGGAAATAGTAGTCATCAGAATCTTAGTAGTGACAGCGATAGTAAAGAGACAGAAAGTGTCAGCAGTCCACCTATAGTGACTAGTCGATCAACTTCATCGAATGAGTCTTCTAGTGTTTTGACGTCATCGGACCCTGCCGCGAATGCTAAGTTGATTGAGGATACACAAGGTTCTGTAACTGTAACTGTTCCTACATCGGTTGACTGTCAGTCGAGTGATGATGAGAAGGAAGCGTCTGATGGTAACAGTCAGTCTACAGTGTTGCATGATAACGATGCTATTGATGTGCATATATTTTGTGTCTCTGAAACAGAACATGAAGAACAACAAGTGAGTTTATCGGTTTCGGATTGCGATACTAATGCTGTTCTTTCATGTAGCGAGATGAATTATACAAAAATGGAAGAGTTTTACTCTACGGATGCTAGTTCAGCCAGAAACGAGGCGACTTGTTTGACAGAACGGAATCACGATGACGATGATAATAATCTGGATGTCACTGATGTGACAAATAAGTTACCGACGATGACGAATGCTGATCAAACCTCCTCTGTATCAGGAGATGGAGAGATAAATATTGATCCCATGTTATGCTACTTAAAGTCTTCTGGGGACGAAGAAATGTCAAAATTGGAGATCCCACCCTTGCATATTATCTATGGGTCAAGAACTTCTGTTGATAAGTCAGCATCACTGACTTCATTGTATCTGCTGATCGGAGCTAGTGGTGGTGGATTGACGACTCATCCCCATGATATGGAATGTAATTCCCGAATAGGATATGACCAGCTTAACGACGTGTTGTACATGTTCATATGGGTTAATTGGATAAGGTTCATACTGCCTGTAGAATTCTTTTTGAATGTTTTGTATTTTGCAAAATCCCTCCATGTTTACATATTTTGCTGTGACATGACGGACTCTTTCTGTTGACATTTTTGGTATTTTATTTGATTCCAATTTGAGAATTTATCATTGTGTATTGTTATTACTTCTATATTTTGTACTTATATTGAAGTTTTTGTGTTTGCTTCTGAACTGTATATATGTTGTTTAAATTTGATATTTAATATGGCTACAGCCATATTTGGATTTGATACCGTAGCAGTAAGAACTGGTAACACTTATTCTTTTGGAATCGGATACCCATAGTGGTAATTTTGAATTGGAAGTTGTATTATTAGTTAGGTAACTGTTTGTATTTCCATTTTCTAATGAAAACAGACCTCTTTCTCGTAGAATTGTTGTGTTTTTGATATTGGATTCGAGACAGCGCGTTCAACCTTCACCTAATGGAAACAAAGTGAACTGCTACGGTAGAAAATTCATCTATATGAGGCACCCTCAGAAGCTTTATCTTTTGTTGCTACATAATAAACGTATGATATGTGCATATGAGAATTTTTTTGAAACACAAATAATACGACGCTGCGTTTTTATAAGGAAGAGACTCATAGTATCTCTTGGGGTGCACGAGATCATTTCGGTTTCACCAATGAGGATGTCACGGATATTCAGATAGAGTATGCCAAAGGACAAGTCAAAATGGAAATCAGAAATGAGAAGGAACAAAGTTATTTTTTGATGGTCGATCATATGTGAGGGAACTGAGCTTGCTAAATTTTGTGAGATACGTTGCACGTACTACCACTCGGTAATCTCTTTAGGATACTTGAATGAGCACCTACAATTTGATGTATCCACTAAAACTAACATGGGGATTTATTAGCAGCCCCACAGGCCTCAGAGATGACTTTCTAATGACTCATGACATTTTAAACACTCCTGAGAATCCCCTAAAGTATTTACGTAAGCTCGGTCTCGAAACAAATCTTGGTGGAACTACCCAGGAACCAGTGGCTCAACATAAAAAATTGACTGTAGCACATCTACCCTTTTACCAGTCAATGAGTTCTTAAATTCTTTACAGACTGAGGTGAGGAATAGTTCGGTTCCAACATGAAGGCATAGGTTATCGGTTGCTACTATACACGGGACATTAAGCGAAAGCTTATTCTATTCTTCCCACAACCGTCTGAAACACTGAGCTGTCCTAAAGAATGTGGAAATTTACGTTTCAATGACTTTTAGTAGACATTCTCAAGTGGCAGAGAATTTCAGAATAAAAGGTAGGTTTGCCTAAAGTTTATTCGGCTGTGTGGTGACTCTAGTTTATGGATACTGTCACAAAGTTTTATTTTAGAACTGAGCTTAAGTAAATATGTCGAATGTTCAGACTGGTTGATAGCGGGACATAGAAAGAATTAAAATGTGTACCATTCACGATTGCGTAGTTGATTGGTTGTTTCGTATCCAGTCAACGATAGTCGATGCCGAAGAACATTCTAGAATCTTCACATACAAGAAAACTTTGAGTATACTAACGTTTGGACTTCTCTGACTTCAGCAAACTTTGTTGTTGGAATATAACCTATTTCCTGTTCAACTGTGTCCAGATTTGGGAGAATGTATCAAGTGATTTGGTGTCCGAGAATACTAAGCATTAGGAATAGCTGAGTTGTAATAAGAGACAATTATAACACGGGTGAACATCCCTTCACAAGACTGAATCCAAATCTGTGGACAGATCCGAGGTCTCACCTTTAGATGCATTTGATTGTATTCTAACGCTTCTGGAGTGAGGGAAGAAACTCTATGATTCAACCCACTAATTAGGGCTGAAAAGGCACGTTAAAGGACAGGATGAAAGTTCTACTGTCAAACTGACAGAAAATGCGCTTCAACGTTACCTTCTGAGGTTTTCAGGTAAGAAATTTTTGGATCGTAAGGTATGGAGATACCATGATGCTTTTCAACATAGGACACTTCTAGAAAAGAGGTTACCGAAATAGCATGCGTAGACTGCAATAGGTTTCAGATAGACTACTTTGCATTTAATGTTTAATAATAGAAAGAACGTATTAGTAATCTCACAGTAAGTAAAAACGTCGAATTTTTTTGACGTTTAGTGAACCAGTGTAAGCCACTTCTTCAACGAATTACTCTTTGAAGTCTTGTAAGTCTGTTGTTATCCGCTTAGATCCTACCTAATTACCAGCTTATAATCCTGGCCGTAAAATTCTCAAGGTTTTTACATCGTCAGCGAAACTCAGTAAGTCAGAGGATACTTACTGAAGAAGGCCATTCTTATAAACTGAAAAGAGAAGAGGTCCTGGTTGAGAAGGCTGGGTGACACCGTTATGACTTTCTGTAGCCTGAGGAAAGTCAAAATTGATTATTCAGATACCAAGTTTACCAGTCTGTTACAGGTGACTTGATACCTAACAATTTAAGGCAATCGATGAGACATGTATGATTAACCCCTCTCAGAATCTGTCGAGGGATCAATCTTACCTTAGTGACCACGCATGGTGGTCCATCCGAGCACCACAATGAGTGATTTAGCTACACATCAATGCTATTTCCTGAAACCTTTCTGAAGTAGTTTTTTATCATAATTTACAATTATTTACCTCGATCCTTAAATATATCTAGGTTTCCACGTAGAGACATAGGTGATCCAATAATACTATGTACGGAGGCGCGTTATCAAAATCTCCTGTTCCGTCTACCATCAAATAAATCATTTGGAACAATACCACTGTCTCATATCACCGACTTACTTTACTTCTCATATTATCACCTTCATTCCTGAGCTTCAGTCCTCTCACACTATAAGCACGATCAGTCAACTAATTTATTTATTTACGTAGTCCAGAAATCTCCCTCTTCTCATAGCATTGAAACTTTCCCTTTATTATGCTCCACTTTGTGACCAACTGACATACGGACTGGTAATGTAATAGCTGCTGGTATCCAGGATCCTTACTACACTGAGACAAACAGACTCACACAATTCCAGGGTAAAATGTTATGACTGATGAAAAGATTAGAATTTGTTTAGCCAAATAGTTAGACTGCCATCCACTTGACACTATCAAATACCTGAAACTGTACTGAAGGAACAAGAATCAAGCACATAGAAATCACTCGGTTTATACGGGCTCGGGAAAGTGTTATTGAACATTGGATTCGTCAGTACATGCTCGGTTTTTGAACTTGGTGCGTTACGTTTCCCGTTATGGTTCAAGAAGTGAGTCTTGTTTCGGATCCTATCGTGTCTTATATTTGGTCGTGCCTGCACAATTATGCCTACAATGATGCACTGTTTGCAGCTGAAAGACTATACGCCGAAACACACAATAGCGAAAGTCTTTACATATTGGCAACTAGTTTGTATCGAATTGGCAGGCCGAGACAAGTTAATAAATTACTCAGCTCCTCCAGTTCGTTATCTCCTAAGAGTCGGTTAGTTTCAAAAAATAGATTTACATCTGTTTTATAGATATCTGCTCGCTATATCATATTTCGATACTGGATCACTTACGGAAGCTGAAGATACTATACTACATTATTCTTCATCACTAGAGGAAATAACCAGTATTTATGAAGAACAATCTTGCTACGTTTTGCTGCTTTTAGGGGATATTTGCAGACATCAAGGAAGACTTAATGACGCTACAATTTACTACAAAAAATGTCTCGAAGTGAATCCGCTGATGTGGTCTGCATTTAAAAACCTCTGTAATATTGGCGAATATATCGAACCCTCATCTGTCTTCCATAATCTTAACGGGCTTAAACTTACAACACCTATGTATGCCGTTCTACTGGACGACCTGCTTAGTCGTTCAGATGAAAGCGCCGCACGAGAAAATGTCAACCCCCAGAACAGTAAGTCTTTAAATAATCAGGCTTTAATTTCATCTAAATCTGTAGACGTTCATACTCCAGACAAAGTCATTCATTCTGCCCTGTCCCCGAAGGCTCCGAAACCTGTTAGCCGTGTTGCACGCAAATTGGCACAAAATTCAAATTCTCAGTCCATAAAGTCAAATGTACCTCGTTTTGGTTTACTCTCTTGTGTTCCTGTAAGTTCATGCTCTTTATCAGTATGTTTTCAGTGTCCTTCATATACTTTTAAAGTTTCGTACACTTCATTAGAGTGGATGAGTTGTTGGAAGTTTGTATTTTGCTAACAGTTGAAGGGCTTATTACAAAATAACGGAGGCTTAGATCGAGTTGTTGTCAAACAACTCAATACATAGAATAATATAAAGGCATGGTATAGTAGTATGTAGATTAATTTAGATATATGTAGGTAGCGGTAAAAACCCAAATAAAAGTTTGTGACTGAAGAGTCATAAAAACTAGCAAATGCGATGACAGCTTTTCCCATCTGTCTATTGTGTCCCAGGTAGGGAAGAGTGGTCAGAGTAGATAGATAGTGACCTAACCTCCAAAAGTGGTCTGTCGATGTTTGTGGTTATAGTTTATAGCAGTACAAAATGCGCGTCCATACAGCGAAATTTTAAAATTGCCAGTAGATATTTTTTCGTTGGTAAACAGCCACAAGAGCCTAGCTTTACAGACCGCCGCGACTTATGTAGGATTGGTTTATTCATATTTCCGAGGTTACTTAGTACATTGTTCATAATTTATTTATTTATCACAATTATCGGTACAAAGGGGCACATAAGTATTTATGTGCTACACAAACTATTGAGTTTGTAAACGGGCTAGGATACTGCACGAGTGCCCACATCGAAGCAGGTGGTTTGCTTAGGGGGCCGCTCCCCTTTATCCCAAAGGCCTAATCCACGAGGCATTGGAGTAATTTCAAGAGAGGCAGTCCCACAGTAGCCAGAGACCAACAGTAGGTTCGCACGCCGATCGTTTTCCCAGGATCCTGAAACCCATGTGTACCATTGGTTTGAAGTCAGAATTCTCCAACTCCTCTAAGTGGACCCTCCGTACCCACCGGCCGATCCAAGCAATGGACATTCGCTTTTCGTCCTTTCAGGTTTGTAGACAACGATTTTTAAAATTAGTTCTTGATGGTCATCCCTGAACATAAAGTCCTATTCAAAGAGAAATGCCATCGCTTTTTTAACTAGCCCCTATCTTTTATACAATCTTAACGAAATATTGCTTTCTAGGTAGTGATAGTAAACATTGCAATATTCTTGTATCCTTGTCAATGCTTTCCTAAGCTAAAAATTGTCAAAAGTTGTTTATGAGTCATATCATTTCTTGCTTTTGATACTTTAGGTGTTTTCAAGACCTTATGGAAATCGAAATACATCTTCAGAGTCAATCATCTCAAAGTCTGTTCAGCTGCCATCAAGTCAGTGTTTACCAGAATTACAGTTTACTCTTAACTCATTGAATAATAGCCAAAATGCTATAACCTGTCTCCAAATTCCTCGTCAGCGAAGTGATATTTCGTGCACTACCAATACAACCATGGGAGCCCAAAGGGATTCCCCTATTGAGGAACCAAACGCCAATAGAAATGCTGCGCACATTATCAAAATTAATACATCTATCACTTCTTCAGAGAAATCCAGTGCTATTTCCGATACTCCAACAAGTGCTCTACGTGCTTCGCAACGTAATTTGTATCCTACACCCAGTACTCGCCACAACCGTGATTCCCTCTCATTATTGAAATCAAATTTACAGTTTTTCGATCCTGCTTCTCAGAGTCCTGGCATGCTTACTTCTTCTTCTACGCCAAGACCACTTTCTAGTCAACAAACAACTACAGGGTGCCGAGCTGTTGAAAGCACCACCTCTTTAGAAATTTCTACAGGTGGACCACGGACGAGATCACAAGTGGCAGCAGCTGCAGCTGTAGCCAGAGCTTCTGGTATTCAAAGAAAATCGAATAGATTTTTGAGAAGTCGAGGTCAGAACCGCAAGTTTGATTCTAAATTACTGTTATCAGACTCTACTGGAAACAGCGCAAACATGCAATCTAAAATACTTAGTTCAAGTGCATGTCCCGACTCTAGTCCTCTCAAAAGTGTACATACTTCTGTAACTAAAGATAAACCAGATTTTGGATGCAGCAATCATTGTACTGCACCTTTGTTTATTGATGCTCCACCTGTTGACGATGATCCGAGGATACTGTCTTTACAACAGTACTTAAGTTTGTTAAGTCAACTTGGTAAAGCTTATCAGATGCTGGTGCGACATCAGTGGCGTTCAGCTACCCGCCTACTTTTAAAGCTTCCAAGCTCTCAACTTCATACTGGTCGTGTTTTGGCATGGGCAGCTCGTGCTCATATGGATAATTCAGATTATCAAACAGCTCATAAGTTGTTCAGTGAAGCTCGTCGTACGGAACCATGGCAGCTATCCGGAATGGATTTCTACTCTACTGTATTATGGCAAGTCCAAGCTGACCAAGAATTATCACAGTTAGCCCATGATTTATTAGAACTTGATCGTAATGCTCCTGAACCTTGGTGTGTAGCAGGAAATTGTTTCTCTTTGCAAGGTGAACATGAAGCGGCTATCAAATTCTTTCGTCGTGCGCTACAGGTAACTAACTGGTTTTTTCGATTTGGTTTGCAATACTATACCCTAGTCCTATTTACCTTTTCCATGTGGCCTAGCCATCAACTTCATATGTTTTATAGCATTGGTTAGTATTTTGTATTTTCCTGTTTCACTGAATAAAATCACCAAGTGGCTACAACTTCAGAATAGTAAAAGACTCATCACATTTTGCCTCATTATGGCTCTGCCGACCGTACCTGCTATCTTGACGTGGTGATCGGGTTTACCTATAATGGTGACACAGCTCAGCTATATTAGCTGGAACAGATATTCCTTTAGGTCCTACCATGCTCTGTCAGTCACCTATAACGTAGAACTTCGCATATATTTACATCAGTTCAAGCTGCCATGCCACATTAGCACAGGGACGCAATTTTCGATTCAAGCCCTATAGTGGAAGTATTCCCGACCGCAGCTGCTAACTTGACGTCGGTGTCCGGGCTTGCCTATCGTAATGACCCAACCGAACTATATTGAAACATGTTCCTTCAGGTTCTACTATACCAGACAGGTCAATTGGAGGACGGTGAGACTAAAAGCAGCAACTCAAGGTCTGAGGGCGAAGTCGTGCTGGTGACTGTAGAGGGATGTGACAGCAGTAAGGTGTTTCTCCCGGACAACCAGCATCTTCAGCGATGCTGCGGGATGAAGGGGTCAGAAATGGTTGACCCTAAAAATGTCACACCTCACCGTACGTCACGGATTTCCGTCTCCGACGGTAAGGCCTTTTAAACAAGAGTGGAGCTAACACTATAAGCTTGCCGGTTTTGGAACGTCGATGTCTTCGAAGAATTACTCATATATCCTGGTACCGCATAGCATGCACTGTTTGTGTTAGGGATAGGGTACTGTACCTAGGAAGGATGGTTTATCAATTGATGAAGTAGTGAGTGTTCATCAGTTGAGGTGGTTGGGACATATATTACGTACGCCCAACTAACGACTATCTAGACGAGCGGTGTTTTGTGGTGTAGGAATAGGTTGGAAGAAAGCTAGTGGCGACCAGACTAAAACATGGTGCGAATCGATGAAGTCACTGACGAGTGGACTAAGCCATGTTAGTGGTTGTCGAATATTGACTATGGTTCTTAGTAATTTTCTCCAATAACTTCTTTTATTTATTCTCATAGCCATAAATTAATCTTATTTCCCGTGTATGTTTACTGATTTTACCGATTGAGTTTATTCGGTACCACTTGAAAATATAAGTCATGGTATTAACTGTACAGTTGAACTGTGAAAACGGTGATGAACGATTTTCTACATTCCGTTTACATATATTCCGGAAATTCGGGGAAAATAAATGAAAATGCAACTTATGTAATTGAGATAATATTTTGTTTACTGTATACAGCGATTCCTGTATATTTTATTTGTTTCATTTTAAGATCGTAAGTTTTGTGACTATTGGTTTGTCCTCAATAGAAATATTCCCTCCTATATAATTAATGGAATTAAGCAGATAAATCATATTAGCAAGGTATATTTAAACTTTGCTTTTTACCATTAACTTTTACCAAGGTACTCACTGACTCATCAATATACTCAATTCTTTTTACGAATTTTAGGAACTTCAATTAGCTGTCCCATTGTTTATGCTTTTCTTTTCTAGGTTTCTCCTACAAGTGCATATGCATGGACACTTTTGGGTCATGAACAGTCAACTCTGGAAGAGTTTGACCGGGCACTAGCAGCTTTTCAGTTCGCCTTAAGAATTGATCCAAGGCATTATAATGCTTTGTTCGGTATTAGTAATGTTTATTACAAACAAGAGAAGTTTGATCTTGCTGAAAATTACTTAGTTCGCGCGGTTGCACTTTTTCCTCAGTCACATTTACTTCTGACTCATCTTGCAGCTTTACGCAGTCGACTAGGTAGGCTTGATGATGGGTATGGAAGCGCGATGGATTTGATAAATCGTGCTTGCAAAATCCAACCAAACAACCCACTGGCTCGGTACCACAAAGCATCTATTTTATACCATCTTGGACGTTATTCTGTAAGTCTTAGTAAAAATGGTTAATAAATAGAATGCATCCTATATTTGCACTCCTTGAAGTAGTTGAATTAATATGTTGTCAATCCTTGTTTCTAAAATTCACTCATCAGGGGATTTCAAGTCCGATTGTTAAAAGAAGTCACGTTTAAATTAATTAGATTAATGCGCTTAGGTTCTTGGATATGAGTCATCCAGCCGATAGTACTTTTCGGCTGCCTGAACCAATGTAGGCTTGCGAAATTTGAACCTGCGACCTAGTGGGTGAATGTCAGACTTCTAACTCACCAACCTATCATTATCTTCTTATCTGGAAGGTAAATTCCACGTTTGTGAACATCTGTTATCCGTTTAGTTACCGTATCGCTGTGCATAAACATCAAAAATCAAGTTTCCTAATTTCCCTGTCAAATTTATTTTGTTTCCATATCTCACTTATTGCAAAAAGGGTTAGTCCAATCAACAGTTTCTTGCATTTGTAACTTCTTAGTATCTCTTAAATACTCAAATATAAATTGACTTGTTTACTTCTTGGTTTATCTTCTCTGATCGGCCTACGCACTATTGTAAGTGAATAATACATCAATAAGTTATTTAAGGAAGAAGATTGTTGAGACGATATCTTTAGGCCTGAAAGTAGTTGTGGGGATGTTCTTACTTATGGAATTTCGTCATTCCCTGACCCTCGACTCTTCAGTGTTTCTTTTTAATCATGAACTGTTAGATATAGTATGGTCTCGTATAGTCGTTATCCAAATGTCTCTGATATTTTGGTTTGGTAAAGTCCCCCTGTATGGTGTCCGACAGTTTATTATATAGATATGCACTTATTAATTGTGAGTTTCATCATGAAACTTTCACATACGTTTAAGTGCCAGATCTTATTTTTTAAAACACTATGTTCCCTACTTCATTTTCAATATTATGACGATTTCACGTTAATGCTAATAATGGAGGTAGACCCAAGTGAGATTCCAATTCCTTCAATTCATATAATATTTGATTATTTGGGTCTTTTTCTGTCCTAAATTTTATCAGATAAAATTTCCTAAGTAACGTAAGTTGTTTATTGTCTTCTTAAATAGGAAGTATTATCGGAGCTTCAAAAACTTTTGGTTTTAACTCCACGTGAGGCCATGGTCTACCTAATGATTGGACACACCTATAAAAAACTGGGAAATACACCGCAAGCAATGATTCATTACTCATGGGCAATGGAGCTTGATCCTAAAGGTGCTAATATTCATCTAAGGGATATAATGACCAACCCGCCCATTCCAAGTTGTGGCTTAAATCGACAAGAAACTTCTGAGCCAGGGGCTTGTGTAGGCGGCCAAAACACGGTCAACTCATCCAGACCACATTTCAGCTCATTCCAAATTGGTCCTTGGGCTAATTTCGAAGACGAAGATGGCAATGAGATCATTGACCGGGTTTCAAGCGCAGATGAGGAAATGGTTAACAGTTTACTTCATCCGCCACAAAGTGTGACTCGTTCTAACTTAGTTCACCGACTGACTGACTTTTCATTACTTTATGAAATGGAAGGATATGAACAAGATCCTGTTATATCAGATGCAGACGAAGAGCACTACGATACGATGGATTTGAGTGCTGGAGTTGATGGCAGAACCGAGCGTAGCGTACCGGACGATTGAAGCAACTACCTTTTTCCTTTCTTATGTGATATTGATAAAATGGAACTTTTTATTCCCACTCCTTGATTTTAGTCAATCTTATTTCCTTTCATATAGAACATATACAGGTCGATTTCATGCCCATGTATAAAGTTTTGTTGCTCTTGTGTTATTTTTGAATTGAATATATGATCATTACAAACCTAAAAACCGTTATGCATATGCTTTCTATTTGAAGTTGAATGAAAAATATTCATCTGCAATTCGCACTTTAGGTTTAAAAAGCGTTGATTTTGCAGTTACGTCCACCATTTATCTGTTTATTCTTGGATATCAGTCACATCGTTAGTAGTGTATGATATCCATTTATAATATCTTTGTAAATATTTTCTACTTCCATATTAGTTGAAACAGTCAAGTCAAACTTTTCTAGGATTTAGCATCACTACACAACTTCATACACGAGTTGATCTAAAACCATAGGTTAATGGTTTAAAGTACATAGGTCGACACTTAAAGATACTGGCCTGTTTCGTGCACATACAAGTGATGTTTTGATATTAACAAACCTTGTAGAACCAGATTTTGGTCCTAGGTCTGTACTTTTTCTGAAACTTGACTAGTTATCTAGTATGAAAAATCAACTTTACAATTTTTCCTCCTTAATGCCTGTGGGATAATTTAATACTATCAAAACACCAGTTCTTGATGGCATATTATATTATGGATTAAGGCATCTCATCCGTACAGGTAGGAAGGGAACTTGCAAGCTAAATATCAGAAATAAGTTAAAGCAGTCTACAATGTGGACAAACTCGATCCATCTCATTTGGAGTTCAATATTTTATCAATAAACAACAGCTGTTATTGGATTTTTGACTTACTATGCTATTCCCGACCGCAGCTGCTAACTTGACGTCGGTGTCCGGGCTTGCCTATCGTAATGACCCAACCGAACTATATTGAAACATGTTCCTTCAGGTTCTACTATACCAGACAGGTCAATTGGAGGACGGTGAGACTAAAAGCAGCAACTCAAGGTCTGAGGGCGAAGTCGTGCTGGTGACTGTAGAGGGATGTGACAGCAGTAAGGTGTTTCTCCCGGACAACCAGCATCTTCAGCGATGCTGCGGGATGAAGGGGTCAGAAATGGTTGACCCTAAAAATGTCACACCTCACCGTACGTCACGGATTTCCGTCTCCGACGGTAAGGCCTTTTAAACAAGAGCGGACCTATCACTACAAACTTGCCATAAAAAGGCCGTGCGTGACCAGCCTCAAGCAGTTGTCGCCTGGGCTCTGCGGTCACGGACCCAAGTCTATAGACCGACACTAATCCAACTTTCTTTTCAGGTTTCTCAAGAAGCACCTTTTCACGGTGTTGACAGCTAGGAAGTGACATCCACCCTCATAAGCGCAACAACCCATGAGACCGAACTGGTCACAATCAAATACTTTTTCCACCTCATAATAACTCTGTCATCTCCACGACCAACCCTTGTTACGATCGTTTGTCACCTGACGCAAACGGTTTGAGCCCACGAAACATTTTTCCTAGTTTTCTGAAACCCAACTCCAAACTACATATTGCAGCTTTCAATGTTCAAACCCTGTGTCAAGTAGGGCAACAGGCTTCCATAGGTAGAAATCCGTAATCCTATGGCGTCATCTCCGAGAAGCGCACACAGGATCAGACCAAAATCATTAATTTGATTTCACCTTGTCCAGATAGATAATCAACTCGGTTTCCTCTCCGTGTATCTGGGAGCCCTGTTGCTGCTTCTTGTGGTCTCGCTGGGGCAGGTATGGCATTGAGTCCTAGGGCATAACTAGCACTGTTAGACTGGATCCCAGTATATAGATAGATAGTTCACACTACGACGGGTCCTAGAAAATAGACAAACGTCCAGAGGCCTCGAAATAGTAGGTTTTTGTATTGTAAAGTGGCATTCGACTGTTTCGATCGTGAAGTTCTGTGGCAGTATCTGTCAATAAAAGGTGTACCAAAGAAGTACACTAACCTTATACAAACTCTCCTCGAAAACTGGTCGAGTGAGAGCTTTTGGCGAACTGTCATCGGAATTGATTACTTCAAGTTGCGTCCGTCATTGCTGTCCACTTTCTCCATTCCTGTTTAGATTTTTCGTATACATGCTTCTAGAAATAACATTATCTTCGTGTCAATTTTCAGAGGCAGGCCTTCTACCAAGAGACTCGCTTGTTGACTTAGAATATGCCAATGACGAAAAAGCTGAGTAAATGCTGTCTTTTGACTACCCTATACAACAATGCAAATATGTTCGGTATAAGGAGTGAAGCAGTTGAGTGTGTCGACTGCTTCACTTGTTTGGGTAGTCTCACCAGTGTTGATGGCCTGGTGTGTGATGGAGTCTCAGTACTGATACAGAAGGGTAGACTGGCATTTGTCAACTTGCATCATTTATGGCGTCGGCGGGATATCTGTTCCCTAAAGAAAAGACGAGTGTACTGTACAGTAGTTCGCTCCGTCCTACTATATGACTGCGAAACATGGCCAGTGAGAGTAGATATTCGTAGGTTGCTGGTTTTTGATCATAGGTGTCTCCGAAGCATTACTCGCGTATCCTGGGACAACCGAGAAAGCAATGCTGTTATTAGGAAACGGGTACTAGGTACTAGGTACTAGGTACTAGCAAACGGGTGCTAGGTAAGGATCGCAGATCAATAGATAAAGTAGTGAGACTTCATCAGTTGAGGTGGTTGGGACATGTGCTGCGTATGCCTAACCACCGACTGCCTCGTCGAGCTATATTTTGAGGTGTAGGATTAGGTTGGAAGAAAGCTAGGGGCGGCCAGACCTTTTCCATTTTTCTTTCTTTCCCTAACCACTGCTATTCGCTTTGATTGTGTAGGGTTCTTATCACCACCCTCTTAAGCTAACTCCGATCATCATCATGTTCACTGCCAGATGGGATGAGTTTCCGAGCATGTATCAGTTCAGTATATGCTAGTGATATCTAGTTCTTCTACCTAACTTTACCTTATGATTGCTGTTTCCATAGCTCTCTAGATGTCATTCAACAACAGATGTCACAACAACAACCAATACAATTATCCATTACTTTCGGGATTCCATTTTTGATTTCTCTTAGCTCCGTCTCCATAAATTAGTCGACAAAAATATTGGTACTGAACACATTATTCATTTGTATGCTAATCTTCTGCCTAATTTCTACAAATAAATAACTGTGTGTAGTTTTATATCATCAAGTGAACTTAGAAAATGGTTGTCCAGTCCCAATCTAAGACGAAATAGATTTTGATCGCTTCCTGCTTTCCAGTAAGTTATCCAGTCATCGAAAACTGCAAAATTCAGCAACCTCTACGAACCTCTGAACTAAAAATATTATTATTATTATTATTTTAGGAGGAAATTAACCATGCGAATCACAGAGCTTGAAGATACTGCAGAAAGAGAGCGATTAAAAGCAGTCTCATTAGAGAAACTGAAGACGAAATTAACACTGGAAATTAAAGATTTGCAATCTGAAATAGAAAGTGTAAGTCAGCTCTGGTAAAAAGGGATGATATTTTTGTTTGTTAAAGAACTTAGTGTATATTGTGAATCGGACAACATGACATCAATAAGCATTCAGTAAATAATTATTGTACTTCGGAATCTTTATGATATTTTGATTTAAAAATAATTTATCTCAGTATTAACAACATGGGATGTTAAGAAAACAGTGTCTTATAACTAATCTATAACTGTCTTATTATTTATGAAAGTAGCTTTTTGGTGGTATTTCATTTTAATTTATTATATTGTGGTGTACGCTACTTATGTTCACATAAGTAGTATATGATATCAAACGAAAATCAAACGTCTGATAGTAAAAGATCGAGAAGGAAAGAATGAGAACAGAAGGCGATTTGTAGGTAACGTAAAGTGAACTGAAGTCTGAACAGTCTAAATGAAAGAACACTGGAATCTGAAACAAATAAGGATTAGTTTGCAAATGATGATTTCACGGGAAGGTTTTGTACATATGCTTAACAACTCTGTAATATTCGCTTAAATATACATGTTGATGTCCGACCGAGCCTTCTGTATCCGTGCTGAGATTCCGTCAGACACCAGGTCATCAGCACTGATGAGACTCCCAAGATGAGTGAAGTGGTCAACACTTTCAACTACTCCACACTCTATCACTAGTTCAGGTGCCGACGCAAGCCGATTCTGAAGCATTATTTCGCATTTCGTTCGCATTGCGTTCGTAGGGGTTTGAACCCGAAATCTCTTCAGACGTAAGACGGAACCAGAGTGAGCGAAGGAGCCAGACAAAGTTCTAAACTATAGGTATGCTAGATACATTCGGGACCCGAACATCGACTGAGTGCGTTGACAACAGCGTGGGTGATCAGGCCAGCTTTCACCAAGACTGACTAAGTCGACGGTACCAACAGGAAGGTGGTCGGTAGCGTAAGCTCAGGATAAAAAAATCAAAGAAAAAGAGAAAGGTGTAGGATGCATGTAGCATGCCGATAGTGTCCTATCGCGTGTCCGTAGGTGCCTGGGTGGTTATTCGAGAAAACGTACAGGTAGGCGTACGCGGTGACCGGAAAGTGAGACGGTAGTCTCGTGCGTGCCTCGTGAACCTGCAATCCGTAGATAGTGCAGATGACGCGTGCTGTTGACTGGGACGTGAGAATGTGGTTTCTGATTTTTCCAGCGTGGGGTCCGAAGTAGCTTTAAGGATCCCGCTAGTAGGTTTGATAGGTCTAGCATTGGTTCTCAGATTAGCAGGTAGGGCACTGTCATCGACGTGTGTTTGTTTCAGACTATCAATGTTGACGATCTCGAAGCGGTCAAGTCGACCAACCTTGAGGGTCATTTCATGACGAGAAATCACGTGAAAAGTTCCTTCGTATGGCTGTTGCAAAGGTTTGCGCACCGATTCAACTCGTATGAAAACATGTAAACAGGTAGATAACCAGTCGATGCTGTATTCGAGTCGACACCGGAAGCAGTGTTCGCATAAATTCAGACAATCGTTGGACGTAGTCTGGTTTATTGAAGTTATCATTGCTCCGTGGTGTGAAAAATTCCCCAAGCGGGCGCAATTTCTAGCCGCATACCGATTCAGTGGTGGAACATTGAATATCTGCCTTTAAGCTCGTTCTGATACCTAAGAGGACGGGCGGTAAGGTTTCGTACCAATTGTTGTTTTCGTGTGCTCGAAGAGCACTTTTGAGTTGGCGATGAAACCGTTCAGCGAAACCATTTGAAGCTAGGCGGTAAGCTGTAGTGCGTATGCGCTCCGTACCAAGCAGCCGGGTCAGCGAGCAGAATAATTCGGACTCGAATTGTTGTCCTCGGTCAGTTGTGACAGTCGAGGGACAACTGTACAGTGCTATCCATCGTTCTAAGAAGCGGTGAGCAACTGTTTCGGCCGTAATGGAAGTGACGAGAATAGCTTCTGGTCATCTTGTGAAACGATCGATGCACGTAAGTATGTAATCATACCCATGCGATGATGGCGATGGTCCTACAATGTCAATATGAACATGATCAAAGCGAGCATCAGGCTTAGCTAATGGGCCGATAGGGGCGGCTACGTGCCTTTGCACTTTTGATCGCTGACATTGTAAGCATTGCTTTACCCACATACGGACATCTTTATTCGTGGAAGGCCAGACGTATCGTACAGTGATGAGACTTAAAGTGGCTGCGATACGTGGATGAAACAAACCATGAAGGGCATCGAAGACGAGACGACGATAAGCAGAGGGCATGATACTTACTTACTTACGCCTGTTACCCCCAATGGAGCATAGGTCGCTCACCAGTTTTCTCCAACCAACGCTGTCCTGGGATTCCCTTTCTAGTTCCTTGCAGTTTTTGTTCATTCTTCTCATGTCTTTCGCTATTTCTCGGAGTAATATGTTCCTTGGCCTTCCTCTTTTCCTTTTGCCTTGAAGCTCCATGTGAGGGCTTGTCTCGTGACGCAGTTGGGTGTCTTCCCGTGCACGATTTTGCAGTTGAATCCATCATAAGAATTCCCTATGATGTTAACTATCTTCTCAGGCACACCGTAGTGTCGAAGAAGCCTCCACAGTGTTTTCCTGTCCACTCTATCGAATGCTTTCTCGTAGTCGATGAAGTTGATGTAGAGTGGTGAGTTCCATTCAATTGATTGTTCCACAATGATCCGTAATGTTGCAATTTGGTCAGTACACGATCGATCCTTACGAAATCCAGACAGTTGGTCTCCAATTCGGGTGTCAACGAAGTCCTTCATTCTGTTTAACAATACCCTGTTGAAGACTTTGCCTGTTATTGAGAGAAGAGTGATGCTTCTGTAGTTCTCACTTTTGCTGAGATCGCTTTTATTTGGTATTTTGATCAGGTATCTTTCTTTCCAGTCTGTTCAAACTTGCTCTTCATCCCAAATCTTTTTGAAGAGAATGTGAAGTATTTTCGCAGTTGCTTCCGAATCTGCTTTCATTGCCTCTGCTGGAATGTTGCCCTGTCCTAATGCTTTGCTGCTCATGAATTGTCTGATGTCCATGCTGATATCTTCAATTGTAGGTGCCCCGACATCAATTGGGAGGTCCTTGGATGCTGCTTCGATGTTGGTTGGGTTCAGTGGAGCTGGTCGATTCAATAGTTCCTGAAAGTGCTCTACCCACCTATTTCTCTGTTCTTCAGTGTTGCTGATTACTATGTTCTCCTTGCTTTTAACTGGTCGTTCTGGTTTACGATAGTTTCCGGCGAGCTTCTTTCTTGTTTCGTACAATTGTCTTCTACACATCCCTGTTTGCTTCTGTGTATGCAGCCTGTGCGGTAACTTTCTCTGCTATTGTTCGGCTGACATTGATTGCTGCCTTCTTGTTCCTCCTTTCTTCAACTTTTGCAAGAGTATCAACAGAGATCCATTCCTTGTGATGGCACTTCTTGTGACCCAGAACTTCGTGACATGTTGAAGTGATTGCCTCCTTGATCCCTTCCCAAACGTTCTCCAATGTTGTGTCCTCTCCATTGAGTAGATCCTGAAAGGCCTGGAACCTCTTGGTGACGGCTATCCTGAATTCGTTGAGTTTTACGGTATCCCGAAGAAAGGCAGTATTAAACGTGTGTGATGTTGTCTGCCCCGTTGTCCAGTGCTTCCTGGGTTTCAATTTCATTTTGGAGACCAGCAAGTTGTGATCTGAAGCTATGCAAGCTCCTCTCTTGGTTCTCACATCCTCCATGGTCCTTCTGAACTGAGCTGGTTGCTAGGGACGAATCCTCGCACTGAAGGGATGTCGGTTGTTACGCTTCTGTACAAAAGGGATCATTTGCTTGGGCAGCGACCATAGCAGGAAGATCGAGCACCTGTAAAGCAACTTGGATACGCGACAGAGCATCGGAAGCATAGTTCGACTCGCCTTTAATACGACAAAGGTCTGTCGTGAATTGAGAGGTATTGTCCTAATATCTGCACCCTCATGGTGAGTAGCGGTTAGATTTGATATGCAGAGCATACGTTAGATGCTTATTGTCGGTGAAAAGGATAAAGCTACGACCTTCTACTACGTGCCGGAAATGTTCGGTGACGCAGTAGGCTGCTAGCATTTCGCGAGCAAAAGCGCTATATGTCGTCTCCGTGGAAGTAAGGCGTCGTGAGAAAAATTCGAGAGGTTGCCAGCTTCCAAAGATGTTTTGTTGCATGACAGCGGCTATAGCAAAATCGGATGCATCAACCGCTATACTGAGCGTGGCTAATGGGTCGGGATGGGCGAGGAGCGTGACTTCAGCTGAAGCTTTTTCATCTCTAAACATGCAGTACGTACGGTTTCGTTCAGTTCTAATTTACATGGATTATTGCGAGGTAAGTCGGTCAATAGTCGTAACTGTTCTGCCGCTTGAAAAATAAGACGTCGGGAGAAGTTGACCAAACCGAGAAAAGCCTTCAGTTCCTTGAGTGAAGACTGTACAGTGTAATCCATTATTGCACGTACTTTGTCTTCACAAAGTAGAATACCCTCATGCTTAATGATGTGACCCAAGAATTTTATTTCTACATTGCCCAGTTCACACTTGTCAAAGTTGACTACTATTCCATTATCCGAAAGGCGTTGGAATAAGAGCGTAAGATGGTGATATTATTCATCTACGTTCGATGATGCGATTAGCAGATCATCAATATAGACGTAAACAAAATCAAAGTCTCGTACTATGCTATCGATAAACCTTTGGAAATTTTAAGCAGCATTCCATAACCCAAATGGCATTCGTAGGAACTCAAAAAGACCGAAAGGAGTCGTGACAGCAGTTTTCTCAATGTCCTCAAGAGCGACTGGGATCTGATGATACGCTCGTACCAGATCAATCTTAGAACATATATTCGTGCCCTTAAGTGATGTCATGTATGTGGGGGATGGAATAGCTATCGAAACGTGTTACTACATTTAATGCTCGGTAGTCTCCACAGTGTCGCCAAATTATCCCATCCTTTTTGCAAACCATGTGGAGTGGTGAGGCCCATGGACTATGGGAAGGACGAATAATACAAGTAGCTAGTAAATTGCCAGACTCACGTTTAGCAGAAGCTAATTTATCCGGTGCCAGTCGGCGGGGTCTTGCCGAGACCAGTGGTCCGCAGGTGACGATGTGGTGTACCACACGATGAGTCACCGATGCAGTCTCCTCTAGTGGTGTAGTTAGCTGAGGAAATGCTTCGAGTAAAGAGTGGAAAATATCATCACACGGATGAAATACACCTGTGATACCGTACGCGTGTTTTTGAGCTCGAAAGCTCATGAATTTGCTGTTCGACGAAGTATCGATCAGCTGCAGACTACGTTAATCGACTAGCAATTCATAGTGCTGCAGGAAATCGCACCAAGTATAGCTGTGGGAACATCAGCAATGATGAACGTCGATAGGTAGGGTCTTCGGTTGCTCAGTTTGATCGCTAGCTTTCGTGTACCATAGATAGGAATGACAGCCATTCGCAGCGTGTTGTCGAAGCATCGTAGCTTGAGACTTGCTGCTACCAAGTGGCACGACAGAAACTTGGGCACCTGTGTCTACTAGGTACTTCGAGTTAATGCGGTTATCGTGCACTTCAAATAGCTGCCAAACTAAGATGAGGGGCCGACGAGTATGGCCGCGTTTACTCACCGGCTCGGGAGTTTCCATGCCTTCTATGACCAGGGGGCTCGACAGTGGTGGGTACCGGACCTAAAAGCACGGTGGAACCAGCACAAAAACCGGTACTCGCTTCCGAAGACACCTTTTGATGTGCCTTGGAAGATGTTCGCTTGGGGCGAGTACTTGCAGCCCTGTGTGATCGTGATCGGGCTCGATGGACATGGGGTTCTGGGATAAAGGAACGGTCTCTAAATTTCAAACGGCTGTGAATACGGAAACCACAATTTCTTTGAGCCCATGAGCGACTAGCGTCGAGGTCTACGGTTGTATGTGACATAGAGGCAACCATGTAAGTGTCTCGCGAGCTGGTTTTCTGCTATAAGGGCAGCCTGTATAAGAGGTGTGTCCTCGAGCAGAGCCGTGTTCGTTGGCTGAATATGTGCTGGTAGGGATTTGAGCCACAGTTCTTTCACTGTTTCAGAGTCGGATGTCGTAGGTCCTGCCAAAGAGTGCAGGCGCGCGTGGTGGTGGCTTGGTCTAGCATCACTCAGGGTTTGATGTGCTAGCAAAGTTCTCAACCGTTCTTCCATCGATGTTAGAAAATGTCCGAAGATCACCTGCTTGAGACGATCGTAGACGTCTGGCACATGAGAGTTGACGACAACCTCAAGGACAGAATCGATATGCTTCCCAGGTAAGGATTCCAGAGCGTAGGCACATATCTGCCGCCAGTTCGTGATGCGGCATATCTGGAATTGAGCCTCCAGTGCCGCAAACCAGACTTCTGGATGATTGGGAATAAAAGCAACAGGTTGAAGATTGATGGCTTGTAATTAAGAGTCTATTATATTATCGTCATTTTTCAGTCTATCCAACTTTGTATAGTGTTGTTGCAGAATATAGTATGTATTTTAAAAAATATCGATATATTACAATCAACAACTATTAAAATAGTCTGAAATGTGGATAGGAAAATAACGGACTCACTGTAATTGACTTGATTTTAGCAGATTTGGCAGAAGTCGATTCGTGTCCAGAGTCGTCGCTAACCACTGTAGCGAATTTGGACTACTAATCGCGACACAACCAATTTAAATCCCTTTAAGGCCGAAAATCGAAAAGTAGACTGATTGGAAAACTAGGTGCATTGATTGATTGTCTCGTGATATGGAAATGATATCAAGAAGCCTAAATCACCGCAGATGAAAACCACCGAAGCAACTGAGCGACGTTAGCAAGACGTCGAGCGAGCAAGTAAGTGTTTTTAGTATAGTTAAACAAAAGGAGTACAATGAAACAATTATTGGTAAAATTGAGTACAATAATAAGTGTTTCCATTTCACAAATTGCGTTCTTATTCCACTACAAACTCTTTGACGACTTACTGTCTCACATTTTAAAATGGTGTATGTTTATGAGGCGTGGGAATTCGAAATTGGATCTCGGAATATTTTGTGAACTGAAGGGTAGAGGACAGAGCCCAAGTTTCGGTATCGCATTCCCTCAGATCTAATACTGTTTCTAGTAGAATTATGCACTACTGAGCAAACAAAAACCCCGGGTCACCACGTTCGAATTCTAGGAGATAAAATCTTATTGTCATAATGGTGTCTACTTCTACGGGTGACAAAATACACTAATTTTCCTGGCTTTCATTCAGTACTTAGTTTGAGATTTCATGGTATATAATTAAGATACTAATAAAGTGTAAATATGGATAAAGTAATTCGAACATGATTGTGAGGCGATAACCTCAATCTACCCATGTCTGTGGGACAGGACATTTCGTATGCTTATGGCCGCTTACGATATAGCAGAATGTAACTAATCAATTATATTGATGTTACTCTTCCTTGGTAACCACGTCTACGACTCAGATTTGTAACCATGAGCTGGTTTCAATTCCTACCAAGAAATTCTATTAGAAGCATCAGATCACTGAGCTTTATCATTACATTCTGTAAATCAACGTTATTCATAACAGTTTACTTCCTTTGAATTTCCTTTATTCATAAGATCATTTAGAGTACATATACTTGTAATGAAGCGAGTCGAGGTTGAATATGGACAACACTAAGGACCAATGACTCTCCCGTCACTAAATGTAATATCTCCACGAATCACAGACAGAGAAGAAGAGTTAATCCACACAAGGGAATATATTTGCTTGCAACTTCGTGGTATCGAAGAAATTCCGAAACTATGCCAGGGAAAAAGGGGCATAGTTACAGCGAGAAGTATAACCGAACTGGCAGAAACGCAAACGGAAAGTTTGCGCGTACAGAGTAGTTATAAACAGAGCGGTCCAGTAAGACAATCACTGGTACAATTGGTTATAATAATGAATGTTTCTATCAAACCAATCGCGTTCTCGTCATAAGAGTTGGGTCACTTCAGAATCATGAATATCTGCAGGGTAAATTTTCGTTTATTTATCTTTATGACATTCGAAGTCGTCTCCAGTTGATTGTCTGTAGTGATACATTCATGCGATATTCTTGCCTCTCGTCTTTGTACACGACGTTGACAAGGCCTGAGATCTGCAGTAACTCTATGCGGTTGTACGGGGTTGATGAGCTAATATTTTTCTCAAATGGATAAATTGTTTGGCGTCATTACTGCAGCCAAATTTGAACAAAAGGGGGGTATGTTGATTTATTCGATTTTTTCTGAGACGCATGACTTGACAACTGACGTTTGACATACCATACGCTTGAATACAGGTATCCCTTAGCTTAGTCGAGGATGTGCGGTCAGGGAGATTAACGGCATTCCCATTGTTTGGAAATCTTCGGGTCATCTGAAGCCGCTTAGGTACATGTATCTTAAACCTTGATTGCAAAGTCCCCATGTGTATGTGTCTTCACAAACATGTAAATTGATTGCAAGTGATGTAATCATTCAAGCAATGTCTAGGCCTATGTGGAATCATGGGCTTAGTTTTTTCAATTATAATCCTTTAGCAGCGTAATATGTTTTCTCTATGGCTGCTTTTAGTAACTGTCTTTATTTTATTGTTATCGTAAGCCCTTTTCTTCACAGACATACGGACATTATTCACCTTAGACACCTCATGAGGTTTGTACTTGATTTATGGTTATTCATTAATAAGAGAACCGTTATTTCGACAAATCGTTGCTTTTCCTGAACTTCTATTTCACGTGCATCTAAATCGTGTTGTCAGATGCTTCGATGGATTTAACATTATTGTTTGTTTGTGTTTTAATTAATCAAATATATTTAGGTAACTTCACATCAACTGATAATTGTTACATAGGCAGGTTCTGAATATCTATCTCATTCAGTAATACAAATAGTCCCGTCATGCTCTAGAATGTCATTTGCCAAGGTATCAAATTAAACTAATTGTTTCATAACTAAAAATATGGAACGAATGAATTACAGTCTTTAATTTAAATGGTGTTCTCTTATTTACGAAAAATACGATGTGTGGTTTTTTTAGTACATCAAACCAATTTAATCTGTCATAGCAGTACAGTTTTAAAAAGGAAGTTTGTTTACTTTGAATATTGTTCTTCACTTTTGATTACTTGACCAAATAATCTGCAGTCTTATCGTTTGTTGCTGAGGCATTCGCAAATGTTGAAATGACGAAACATATCATATTCCACTAAAATGTATACCGAGTGATCGTATACTCATCGTTTATCAGCCTCAGCAATACTCAAAGCTTCGATTATATAATTTTATCTATAGTCTTGGCTAATGGTCTGAGTGACTAGTTGAAAGGCAAACTTCGTGCTTGATAAATTCAGGTTAAATAAACAGTATACATTTTTTAAAATATCGTTCGTTTGGATGTGACGTAATTTATTTGGTAATTTTATATCACTTAGAAAATAAGTTGACACATCAAACTAAAGTCCAAACCAGAGAGCAGTGGAAAAGATAGTCCACATACGTTACCTAAGGTTCAGGCAATTAGCGTTGAACCTCTTATAGCAGAGAAATTCTAGGAATTTTTTTAGGTTATTAGATGTTGCTCCAGGTTATGCTCAATCAAATGGTTTGGTGAGAACCTTCATTCACATTGTAGAAGAATGATATCATATTATAGGCTAAGCGATACAACATATTTGTGAATTGTATTTGAGTTTAAGTATATTAGACTTTAGAATCCGAGAGAAGACAATCTGTAGCTTTTAGGAGAACAATTTTCCTTCTTATGTTCGAACTTTCATGACTTTTCAAAGGTTGCTTCTTCAGAGATTTAAACAGTAGAATTATTAGGATTTACAATCAGTTAAAAACTTTAGCATTCGGTCATAAAATCCCTCTACACAAAAGCTAAAAAGTTAAAAAGCTTACTTCATATGGAAATGAAATGACATGATCATGACTAGACTTGGTTTTATTGTCCACTTATTATATGCTTTTCTCTTTAGCATTTAACTGTTGAAAGTAAGAATGAAGTGAACTGATATTTAGTTATCGTTAATGATATGTTAAAAATGCACATATTCTATATCAGTCGTATAGGTTTACAGTTAGTGTATTAACATTCATCATCCAGTGAATTTTGCATCCCATTTTCGATATATTTTGAGTTCCAAATTGGACGATCATTTAGTCCTAGATTCTAAAATAAAATGATGATATTAATTTACAGAACCCATCTGAACCTCGACAAAGGTGTGTACGTGGAAATCATAGAGATTTAAAACTTCAGAACAAAAATGTCCTAATGAAAATTCTTAAATTGGGTAACCTATAATTTAAAACCGAGTGATAGGATCAATAATTTTTAATAAAACAAATTAACTATTTTGTGAAGAATTTTTAAGATATTTTCTAATCACTATCCTCTAAACTAACCCATGTTTTCTGAGCAAATTTATTTGTAAACTGTTAGGATATTCATCAGATATCCTAAGAGAATGATTTTTGGGAGCCTAATTCTTTGGTCAATTCCTACTAGTCAATATTATGGTCCTCCTAGCTATCAATGTCACAGACTTCAATGTTGTTCCCTATTCGACCTAACTGTATAAATCACGCACTATCTGTAACATTTTATGACCCGAACCCAGACCCAGATCCCTAGTCCAGGATCCTGGTTCTCTTCTGGACTCGGACCTCGTACTTTCTGGATGCTTGTAGAATACGGGTTTTACGTCATATCAAGTCTTCTTCTTCTACTCAATGGGGGACTGGGACAATCGGATTAGAGTAACATGTCTTGTTGCCAGATCCTCGATCCTCAACGCTCGCTCTCGTTTTCCGACTAAGGTAAATTTCGTCGTACATGCGTGACATAAACACAACATTGATTCATAGTATTTCCCACTGCGAATAACTATTCGTATGGTATTTGAAACTTGCTTCCATGAGGAGTTATCTATCCAACCGCCTGTATAGGGTCAACGAAAATTGCTAATGAATAAAACTGATGCCGACAGCGCTATACCACTTACTTCAAAGCTGCAAGTTACGTTATTACTAAAAGTTAAGTGATGAAAATATTGACTGTGATAGGAAAGTTTATGATTTAGTCTCCTATACAATATCTATTCCATTTTGTTTTTCTTAAAATGAAAAACTGCTATAAGATCATAGTGAATAGATGAATTCTGGCTACTTGCAATACAGCACAATTAATAGTACAGTCATCCTTAAACAACCTATGCAACTTTTGATTTGTTCAATATATGATGTAAGTGGTTTTTAGCGTATTTGAAACAACCATTGGAAAATTTTTTTATTCAATGGCAAAAAGTTACTCAGCAGTCAACAGTTCATTTGAATGATTTGAGAACATGAAGAGTGTGATCAATAAATAAACATTATCTATTAAGATTTCAGTGATAATTTCAAATTTTTAGAAATTTGGGAGATTTTTGTCTTTCAAACCATTGGTTAGGTAATAATAGTAGTAATGATAAAGATATTAATAATAATATTATTAATACAATAAAAGAAGAGTAATAGCAGAAGCGTACAAAAGAAAAAAAATAATGGTAAGAATAATTAAACTGGGAAAACTAACAAGGTCACTGACAATGACTATTTTAGTTGTAAATAACAAAAACAATAATAATTTTCCTGATTTTTTTTGTTTGTTTATGTGTGTGTATGCATGTATGCATGTACGTATGTGTGTGTGTGTAGGAGAGGGAAAAAGAATAATCAATGCATTTGAATGAATCGAAAAACAGTAATCAATAATAACGATAACAATAATAAACATTCTGAAGATAAATAAAGCTAACGTGTTACAATGTCATTGTATTTGGTGCAGATATTCACTTTCATCTAATCTTTTTGTCTAAATGCGTACGAAAATTTATTTTCATCTCATGAATGAACAGATCGTCATCAAATAAGCACTCTATTCAAGTGTCTTTAGTAAAACACAATGATAACTGAATAATAGATTGAAATGACTATTTTTAAAAAATAGTACATATTTTCTTGTTTTTCTGTATGGTATAGTATTCTGTTTTCACTTTCTTAATGCCATAAGCTCAAATGTAGTAAAACTTTGAAATATATTAAAACGAAAGTTAAAATAAAGTAGTTGGAAGTAAATAGTGGATTAGCAATTATTTCTTACTTATGCTGCATAGATAGTAAACATGGAAACAATATTGTTTCGGAGAAATAATTATCATAAACAAAAAAAAACAATTTATGCCTAGATGTTTTGTGTTTGTAAGCTAATTGAGAATATCAACGATAACAATATTTTATTCTCATTGTTAATAAGGGTTAAGGTTTCATTTTTTTATGAAACCTTTTCATTTTTATTATTAATTTAGGTAATTAGAAATAAAAAAAACAAAGGGGATAAACGACATATCGAGGAAATTTAGCAGAAGAAATGAGAATTAAAGCATATTAGATGATAATAAACTAGATGATTGACTTTTCTTTTAATCTCATCGTTGATCATTTCACCCATCTCAAATGGATATATCATTGGCTAAAAACGAAGCGAAGACGAAGGAAAACGAAAAGAGAAACATATATGTATGTGTGTGTATGTGTGTGCATTAATATTTAATTGCTTTACATCATACTTGTTGCTCTCATTCCTCTGTTTGAAGTGACGGATAGTTCACGCGCTACTGATACAGCACGTCCACCTGGACCAACACGACGTACAGTCACTGTACGTTCAGCCATATCTGCCCGATGTTCAGCTTCTTCAATTTGTTGTTGTGCTTTACGATACTTATTCATTGTAATTTGAGAAACTTCCTCCTAATGGTGTTAGAAAAAGTGAGATAATTTTTTTAATATTTTCTTATTTGAATATTTCAGTTTTTATTCTGTATATTAATAATTTAAAAATAATTAGTAAGATATTTCATAACAAGACTATTAAATAAAATATTTCATCCATTTACCATTTCTTCTAACTGACGTTTATAAGCTTTCATTTTCATTTGAGTTTTGTCTAACAAATCTTGAAGTTCAAGAACCATCCGGCGATCATCTTCTGCTTGTGTTTGCAATTCTTTATACTGGCGCTCAAACTTACGTGCTTGAGCTAGTGCATCTTTACATCTACGTGATTCACCATCGAATTCTGCTTCAAGTTCACGTACACGAGCCTAAAATATGATAAAAATAAAATCAATAACAACTGAACTGAAATCGATTGAACGAAATTTAGTATTTTGGATGATCCTTAAAGGAGATGGTAACCCGCTTAGGCAGAATTGTGACAATTATGTTGTGCGTTTCTTTCTCATCCTCGTCCTAACGTCTTTATTGTATTTATGCTTCCTGTTATTAATTAAGACAAGTTAAAATAATTCACTTTGCATCATCTTTTTCAAACTGTTAATGAGTTCAAAAGATATTATCCACGAAGCCGATAAGATACTAAGAAAATGAGTGAACTCACAGTTTTTTTTTTCAAATTGTTTCAAAGTCATGAATATAAGCACTAAAAATCATTCAAGTTCACAGTAATTCTGAAAATGTAACTGATAGGCAAACTACACTGTCAGTAGGCAACGATTTGAAAATTCTTCTATATCGTCATTTTTATTTATCAAATCCTCATTCTTTATTGAAATTGATTTTTTTACACACAATCTTTCCTGTGAGAGTTATTACAAACATTAAAATAAAATTTAGTTTACAAAAAACATTAATTCACCTGTAATTTTTGAACCATACGACGACCTTCACGAGTGGCGAATGCTTCCGCCTCTTCCAATTTTACTGTGATCTCACGGATTTCGATTTCGAGTTGTTTTCTCAAAGCTTCAGCATGCTTGTAGTTTTCTTGTTCTTGGCGTAATTCATCAGCTAATCGTAGAACCTCATTATTCAGTCTGGTCGCTCTATCTTCAGCAGCCTAGACGGAAAAAACTTCATAGTAAATTATATCATATATATATATATATATTTTGATAAATGGAAATTTTCAAGGCTTATGACTATCCTTTCCATGAAATATATCTTAAATATCTTGTGCATTTACTACATGAATATTCACTCCTGGGTCACGAACCTGTTCAACGAACACTTTCATAAAATTAGATTAACAATCTTTTACTTTTAAGGCTGCCTTTAATTACATACATTACATTACATACGCCTGTTACCGCCAATGGAGGGAGCATAGGCCGCCCACCAGTTCCCTCCAACTAACTCTGTCCTGGGCTTCCTTCTCCAGTTCTGTCCAATGTTTGTTCATTCCTCTCATATCTTTCTCTATTTCTCGGCGTAATGTATTCTTTGACCTTCCTCTTTTGCCTTTAATTAGGTCGACCTAATTGGTTTAAGTTATCAGAGTATTCTGTCGTGTACTATCTTCAATGATTTGAAATTAATCGATTCTATGGAAGATTAAGTATATATTTTATTGGACTGGACACTGATCACAGCTTTGACAGCTTCTTTTGTGAAAATACTCTAAAATGCCCTCATTTTTTTTATTTACATACTGTGTACAGTATAACATTTTGCTAAACAATGTCTAAAGAATTTAAACCTACTGAATACTTTCCACAATTTTTTGTCATACGTTTCATTTTTGAAAGAAAACAATTTTTATTAATATACCAAAAGAATCAACACTTGAATATAAAGACAGATAACTATAAAATAAACCTAAAAGAATAACCAATCACAATAAAAATCATTAGGGTAAACGGATTTAACACTCATGGAATAATAGAGAAGTTCACCTCTACGTCAAATCAGCGCTGATGAGGATTTTGTCCAAAACGACAATCAAAATTCTGCAATTAAACTATCTTGTTCACAGAACACGAGCCTATCAAAATATCTTTTAACTGATTTCAGAGTATAATAGTTTAACCAAATATGAACTTTATAAACGTTTAACAGAGTTATCGGACTAAAAAATTCTAAAAAGTAAAGAAATACTGTTCTTAATGTGATATTACAGACCTCTTGATAACATTTCATTGAAAAACTTTTTAAAATTACTAACATCATAATATACAAAGGAAATTTGGATATATATATATATAAAAAAAAATAGAGTTACTGGGTCGAAACAATAACATGAATAATGAAGATAGAAATAATTTTTACTTGTTTAGAATTGATGGCGTCATCCATATCAGCTTGTATTACACCTATGTCTCCTTCAAGTCGACGTTTATCATTACTCAATGTATTGACTTGAATAGTTAATTCACTAACACGTGACTGAGCTTCTTCAAGTTCTGTTTCAGCATGTTTACGTAAACGCTCTAGATTTTCCAGGGTACTACGCATTTCTTCAATTTCGTTTGCCAGCTGTAAACGTTTATATTCAGTGATCTAAATAATAAAAAGTCCAGAAAGAAATGATCAAACAATAGTGGTCTAACTTAGATGAGTCAGTGTTATAATCTATTAAAAATGATTACAAAATTAATGTTTTCCTTTTAGTCAAGCTATTCAAGGTGATTTTGATCAACGAATTGGTTATGGGTTAATGAGAAATCAATAGGTAGGATTATCATTTTTAACATGACTCAAGCGCTAGTACTGCTCATACAGCATTCGAACTTCAAATCCAGTTTCAAACGGATTTCTAGCTAAAATTGCTATAAATTTTATCTGGTTGTGTTCGCCACTAAACATAATTTTGGATTTAGTAATGATTCCACAAAACAAATTAACAGAAAAGGTCAATAGTCAACCTTCCACAGAGAGGAAGGATGATTGTGTATCCATACTGTCGTCATTTCTTTGAGTATGGGTATATATAAATAGGACGATTTCACGAGCAAATGAGAGTGTGTATATTTTTTCACACAAAATACACCCTTTCTGAATATATATCACTACAATACCACAGCGTTTTCTGGCACTAAATTGTTATTATCTCTTTGTTATTATATATGATTGAAGAGATGGTGAACTATGAAATTGATTAATAATATCAATTAGATTCGATCTGAACCAACTGTTATGTATTCACTTGAAGAATTCATATCAGACAAATTTTGATCATAGTATTCAACTTGAGCTTTCGAATCAATTTTGTTGGTAGATTTGTAAGGGGTGAAATTTACGATAAAAATGCTATAACTGCGTAGAAATAAACAGCTTTTAGACCTGATCAAGTCAAATAATTGTTCTGGTGTTGTATTAATAGGCTGATAAGTGTCGAATGACAGTGATATTTGTATGAATTCAAACACAGAACTTCTGTTTACTAGCAGGATTGAGACTAGCAAAGTTAAATTATAAATAATGATGAGATCTAAGATGTCGGTTTCGACCTGTTTCGAACTGGTCAACTGAATGAACCCGGATCCTAATGTCTATGTTCACATAGACAGATTGTAGTAAATCCACTTTTATGAAGAGAACGCAATTGGTTTATTGGAAACATTCATTATTATAATCAATTGTATCAGTGATTGTTTAACTGTACTTCTTGTTTACAACACTCTTCACGCGCAAACTTTCTGTTTGTGTTGCTGCTATGTTTTGTTCTAGCAGCTCTGCAAATTCGTCCCACTTTCCTGACTCGATTTCGGTAATCTTTCGATACCACGAAATCACCAGCAAATATATTCTTCAATATGGATTTATTTATCTTCTCAGTGACGGGTTCGTAATTACTATTTAGTAGTGATCATAGTCAATCTCGACTCGGTCACCACTAAAAGATAGTCCACTCAAGTTGCGCATGTACCAATGAAGATTAATGTTACTGCTCGAGCATTTCACTTAATTTCTCTAGATCACTTCTTTAACTGAAACGACTAGTTTAAGGATAGGTTTATATTCAGATGTCAAAAGGTAATCGATAGCATCTCATCCGTGATGGTTATATACCGATACCAACCGTTAAAAATAAAGTAATAAGAGGAAACTATGTTAAGATCAGCACTAACAAACAAATTGGTCAATAATTTGAACAAACAGCCTAGGCTAGCAATCCATGGCACACATAAAACATTGGTGTACATTTGTCTTATTCTCAAAACTCGTTTTTGAAGATTCTTCTACATTTAAGTTTCGAACCGAATGTTGGTTATATAATCATTATTTAAAAAGTTTATCAAGTCCATCAATAACTTCTATACTTCATCAGGTTTTACGATGAAATAATGAGGTTAAGAAAATCAGAATTGTTATTCAATATTACAAATTGTGATTTGATTTATGCAACAGCCTAATCTTATATAGAATTAGTTGTTACTTCTAACCAATTTATTGATATAGAAAGTCGCACCACAAGAACTTGAAAAGAAAGATTGAACATTGAGCTGAATTTCTGTGTGCTCGAAAATATATATGCCATTCATTTTAAAGGTTAGACATATATAATAGCATTTTATTATTTTTATCCGGGTCAAGGTAGTTAATAGAGAGAAATTAGGTTAGGCTTTGCGTTCAACAGGATTCATCAGTATGATAGTTGTACTTTCGACAAAAGAAATGTGATTTCAATAATAATAATAATAAGTGAAGCTTAAATTACAGCATTTTAAAATCATGAACTTTTTTTATTTACACACTTGTAGATTACTTTCTGCTGCTTCACGCAGTCGACGTTCTTCGTCCAAAAATGTTTCTAGATCTTTTACACGTTGGGTTAAATTTTTATTCTCTTTCATAAGGTTTGCATTTGCTTTGTTTGTAGTATCAAGTTGAATTTCTAATTCAGCTATACTTGATTCATAACGTTTTTTTAAACGTGATAACTCTGACTTATACTTTACTTCCATTTCAGTAATTGTAACAGTCAACTCTTCAATTGTTCTAGTAGTACTCTTTCTGTAAAGATAAGAATTCAAAAGATAATCAAATGTATAATAAATATCAGAGTTGAAATATTTTGTCAATCTAGATTACATCGATTGATAGTGTGCATAACGTATCCTTCAGATTAAATGAAAATGAAATGTTTGATTAGTTTGAGTATGATATTTGTTACTTGGTTGACTGGATAATCAAGAATATAATGTGAATGATAAGCTAAGAAGTTTATATACAATATAATCGGCTAAATGATCATGATTGGATTTTATGGATATATGCAAGTCAATAATATAATCAAAATTAGTTAATTAAATAAATTATCACAAGGTAATGCATCAACATTCAGCATTAAATTGTATCGAATTGGTTAAAGAAACTGATACTCACGCACGTAAACATGTCAATCTGATATTCTTGAACTATTACAAATTTACCTTAGTCGGAAAACGAGAGCGAGCGTTGAGGATCGAGGATCTGGCAACAAGACATGTTACTCTAATCCGATTGTCCCAGTCCCCCATTGAGTAGAAGAAGAAGACTTGATATGACGTAAAACCCGTATTCTACAAGCATCCAGAAAGTACGAGGTCCGAGTCCAGAAGAGAACCAGGATCCTGGACTAGGGATCTGGGTCTGGGTTCGGGTCATAAAATGTTACAGATAGTGCGTGATTTATACAGTTAGGTCGAATAGGGAACAACATTGAAGTCTGTGACATTGATAGCTAGGAGGACCATAATATTGACTAGTAGGAATCGACCAATAGAATTTACACTTACAAAATCATTCTCTTAGGATATTTGGTGAATATCCTAACAGAAACTGGATTTTGAAACCGGTTTAAGCAATGATAAATTAAGTAAACTTTCACTGGAATGGAACGTGAGGTTAATTAGTGATTTTAACAAATGTGTCTGTCGTCTCATGTCATATGATTTTAGACAAGTGACTTCGAGCAGATGTTATGTGTTGTATAGAGAGGAGAAAAATTGTACTCTTTTTAGCATGAAATGCATTAGTTCAGCATTAAAATGAGGCTGGATATGGTAACTGGTTTAAAAAAGTAATCCTACAGTTAAGACACCTTTTTAAAGTTTAATGATCACGTTAAAATAGCTGCTGTTCGCCAAGTTATTTTGCGTTAATAACCGTAGTCAGTTTGGTTGGAATTTCATGTTTATTGATTTTTGTGATTGCAGTGCATCCACGAGATTCAGAAATTTCCTGCTTCTACAGAGACCAGAGCTGGTTACAGTAGGAGTTAGGAATATTTTCACAGCTTTGGATTACCCCTTTTTATGACTCCATAGTTAACCGAAACTAGTAGCTAGATGGTTATCAGGCAAACGACTAATGTGTTAATCACTAATGTAAGTCAGTGTTATTTATCATACTTCAACTGACTTCATTGTTGGTTCCTAATAAAAAATCTCACCTCAAACTTTCTAATTCTTCATCTCTTTCTCTCAGTCTCTGCTCCATTTCAGACTTTAAATGATTCAGTGCAGCTTGTGAAGCTTGATACTTTTGATCCATATCATGCAGAGCTTCTTCGGCATCATGTAAAGCTGAAGCGAGATTATCTCTTTCAGCTTCTAATTGTGATCTTAATGCTTCCAAATCAGTAAGACGACGATTAGCATCTCGAAGAGAACTTTTTAATTCCTTGACCTGATCTTGATTCGAAACGAAACATGAAAATAAATTTAGGTAAACGATGTAAATACTGTGAGAACAATAACTTGATTGTAACAATTTTCTTACTGGAATGATCAGTAAATCACCGATTAATCCAGATGTTTGTAAATTCTAAAAAAATAATCATCTTCAGATAAATTATAACATTCTTTATCAATTAATACATGTCCACAATGAAACATACGTCAATGACTCGAAATTTCGCAATTATTAGTGCAAAACACATGAAATTACTTTTAAATGGTGACAAATCTTGGGACGTCTATATGTTTAAAAGCTCTAATGAAATAGTGTAAACTTAAAGAATAATGACTGATTCTTTGTAGAGTCGAAAAAAATACTGTTTACCATAGTTTTCCGTTTGATTCTTCTAACATTTACATTATTTACAAACATTACGAGTACGGCACAAGCTGGTATGTTTTTCAATACTCGAAATGGCCAATGAAATTCAAATTCACTCAAAAATTTGGCATTATTTGATGGAAAAATATTCACTGATGTGAAAAACATTCATTCAATCGTTTTTTCTGATTGATATTGATTTTTGAGGGATAAACACTAACTTTATTATTTTGATTCTATTTAGCGAATGAAAATGTTGGGATGCATCATAGAAGCATCCAGAGGCCTCCAAAAAACCCTAATTTCCATACAATCACGGCTCTGTACAAAAAACTATAAATACAGATGTTTTCTCTACATTTTGGCACTTACTGTATTAAAGAAATCTTTCGTTTTTCTCCCGGCTTTGGATTTGCGACCTGGGGGAAGGTTCTAATAGTTCTAGTGCCAAGAGTTGTATTGTGTATTAGCATTCTTAGTATCAGACTTAAATAAACTTAGTGCTCGACCATATATTCTTTGTGTCAGTAAAAATGTCCTAAGAAAACTTCCATCATCAATTTCACCAAACTCACCGTTCATTTGACGGTTCTCACGTTCTAAAGCATTATTTTTATCGGTTAAATCATTTACTAAACTCTTTAGGCGAATATTTTCCCCTTCTAGTTGACTGTTTTGTGATGTTAAAGTGTTCACTTCAATTGTAAGCTCATCTACGCGACGTTGTAATTCAGCAGCCATGGATTCTGCGGCTTTTGCACGACGAATTAATTCGCTATTTTCTAATGAAAGCTAGAAAAAGGCAGTAAAAATAAAAGTAAGATCCACATATTCTTCTAGGTACATCATTTTCTTAAATTCAGAACATCTGATGATTTCATCTGTAGATTAAATATCCACTAACTAACTTACAAATAACATAGAGCAGTTAAATATGTTCAAAACGTTTCTGTAGGCAGCCTGTCGTTGTGTCTCTCGAAACACTAATACTCTATGCAGAAGCGTGAAGTGTATTATTTTACGACCGAAAAATGTGAGCATAAAAAATGAATGACATATATGAAAGGGGGAGACATTCAGTTAAGGGTACATTTAAATCATTGCTCATGTGAAGTTGAATTGATGGGTAAGTAATGTTAACTGATGCGATGGTAATAGGTTAAAACTTGAGTTAAAAGCTACTAGTCCAATCAGTTCTTGAAGATCAGTCACTATTGTCTTTATGTTTGAGATACGTAATAAGACTATAACTTCTGTGTCAAAAGGCTTAAAGAGTGATATCGCTTAATATCAAGAGACTGAGGACAAATTAGTCTGTTATTGAGCATTATATAGCTTCGTGCTATATCTATCTTGGTTTCACATAGCTTATATGCTCTTCCTTGCTTTCATTAACTCTGCTGATATCGTAAATTTGGTTGCGATAGTTTTTCCACAGTTGCTCCTTATTCATTGAGCTAATTTGACGTGAATAAAAAAACCGTTATTCATATGAATTGGATTCTACACATTTTTGTTTGTCTGTAACAGTGCTCACGAGTTTGAAATCATAGCTACTGTATACAGTTAATCATCACAACAAAGTATCATGGTTTAGGCATATTTATTGAGTTGTAAATATACCGAAAATTATTCTTCAAAATTTAGAATTATTAATGCCCCACCGCAACTGCTACCTTGACGTGGTGGTCGGACTTGCCTATCGTGATTACCCAACCGAGCTATATTGGCTGGAACATATGTTCCTGAAGGTTCTACCATGCCAGGCAGGTCAATTGGAGAACGATGAGACTAAAAGCAGCTACTCAAGGTCTGATGGCGAAGTCGTACTGCTGATTGCAGAGGGGTGTGATAGCAGCAAGGTGTTTCCCTCGAACAACCAGCATCTGCAGCGATGCTGTCTTCACACTAGAAAAGAATAGTTCGAAAAGGTCAACCGTAGAAATGTCACACCTTACCCTACCTCACACTAAGGGCTTTTAAACAAGAGCTGAGCTAATACTCAAAAATCCTTTAATAAAAAGGCCGTGCGTTACCGGCCTCAAGCAGTTGTCCGTTGGGCTCTGCGGTCACGCTCCTAGGTCTCTAAGACCGACACTAATCTACCTCCTTTTTCAGGTCCCTCACGAAACAACCTTCCACGATGTGGGCAGCCGGGAAGTGACAACCGCCCTCATACCCATAACAGCACGCGAGACCAAATTAGTCAAAATCAAATCCTTCCTACATCCCCTAATATCTCTCTTCTCTCCACAATTAACTCTACTCACATTCCTTTATCTCACTGCACCGCTAATGCAAACGATGCGAGTTCACGAAACGTTATTCCCGGTCTCCTGAAACCCCATTCTAGATTACATGTTGGGACTTTTAATGTACGGACATTGTTTCAAATAGAGCAACAGGCTTCGTTAGCTAGGACATTAGAATCTCGCTCTAACGATGTACGCTGCGTCTCGGATAGTCGCTTGTGCGCTGTCCAACTGAACGGGACTGAAAGGACTCGGATAGATAGGGACACTTGCCGCTGTCTCTTCGTCGTATCTGCCTACGCTCTCACTGACTTCAGTTCAGACGAGATGAAAGATGAGTTTTACAGAAAGCTTTCGAACCTCCTCTAAGAAGCTAGGCACTCTGATGTAGTAATAATGGCTGGTGACTTTAATACTCAAATAGGTTGATTCAGTAAGCAGGAAAGACACTTAGGTGGATCCTATGGTGTCGCGGCTCAGAGAACAGACAATGGCGACCGTCTGTTGCAACTGTGCTCAGATAACCAACTATTTCTAGTAAACATTAACCTGGTGACCCTCAAAGTCGTCCCAACGTTGGACCCAACTAGACTACATCGCCATCAGCCACCGATGGAGGGGTTCGATAGAGGACTTTCTCTCGTTGTGGGTCACATGTTTAGATTCAGTGCGAGCGCGTATTTGTTTGAGGCTTACTGGAAGTAGGAAAGACACCGCAATGAAACCTCTTTGTGTGCTAACTAATGATATTGTAGCTAAGAATATATTTCAGGAACAACTAGAAAGACAGTTAGGCGACCATGTAAGCGAATGGTAAGTTGACGTAAGTCCTCCGAACCTTTATGAAGTTGAAAAGGCTATAGGAAATCTGAATCTAGGGAGAGCAGCAGGACCCGATAGATTGACTCCTGAGATTTTCAAGAATGGCGGCCAAGTTTTAACAGTTAGACTGACCGAGATCTTAGATAGAATCTGAGAACTGTACGCAATCCCATCCGACTGGTCTCAATCACTGATTGTCCCAATTTATTAGAAAGGACAAACGTCTTCTTGTGACAATCACAGAGGAATTGAAAAATTCATTAAACTTTCATTGATCAATCCAATTGGCTGATCAATTGTTACTTCAGATCAATTTTACGCATTCTTTAAGATGATTACATTTAAACGGTCAATGTGATTACGGTAGACATTCACAGTTGATATGAGATCGGTACTATAGACATCTAGACGTCAATATTTTTGTGAAATTATATTAATAATCAGGGAATCGCTACCATTTGTAACTGGTAGTTCTCTTGTGAGAATTCATTTTCATTCATATTATATTACAAAACAAAACAATCAGGACTAAACTATTGGTTTTAAGAACAGCAATAAACTAGCATCTTTTAAAAATTTAGGTAGAGTGAAGTGGTATTCTAAGACTAGCTTTTGTTAATCATAGTGTATTACGTGCGATGTTGGATGGCAGTATATAATAAAACGGAAGCCATATTTGACGTAAATCTCCTCAGTACCAGTATTTGTAACCTATTAATTGTCATGAAAAATCATCAGTAAGTTAATTCGGTCGCAAATAACAATCCTAACAACTCGATTACTTATAACTAATCGGTTAAGTAGTCTCCAATCCATTTAAATTATCATTTTTTAAATGTTAGCCAACGGATATTAGTATTCTTGTTGACGACTAAATTAACTTCAGATGGTTAATTTTCTTCCGAGTATTTAACCGTAATTTATTTTCCCAATAGTCTACAGAATTATGATAAATAAATATTTTTACATTAAGTACGCCGCATAAAAGGTGAAATAGAAGTCTTACTAAACTTTATTGTTGTGCACGAAAACTCATGTAAGGACATCAACATGTATATTTAAGCGAATATTACAGAGTTGTTAAGCATATGTACAAAACCTTCCCGTGAAATCATTATTTGCAAACTAATCCTTATTTGTTTCAGATTCCAGTGTTCTTTCATTTAGACTGTTCAGACTTCAGTTCACTTTACGTTACCTACAAATCGCCTTCTGTTCTCATTCTTTCCTTCTCGATCTTTTACTATCAGACGTTTGATTTTCGTTTGATATCATATACTACTTATGTGAACATAAGTAGCGTACACCACAATATAATAAATTAAAATGAAATACCACCAAAAAGCTACTTTCATAAATAATAAGACAGTTATAGATTAGTTATAAGACACTGTTTTCTTAACATCCCATGTTGTTAATACTGAGATAAATTATTTTTAAATCAAAATATCATAAAGATTCCGAAGTACAATAATTATTTACTGAATGCTTATTGATGTCATGTTGTCCGATTCACAATATACACTAAGTTCTTTAACAAACAAAAATATCATCCCTTTTTACCAGAGCTGACTTACACTTTCTATTTCAGATTGCAAATCTTTAATTTCCAGTGTTAATTTCGTCTTCAGTTTCTCTAATGAGACTGCTTTTAATCGCTCTCTTTCTGCAGTATCTTCAAGCTCTGTGATTCGCATGGTTAATTTCCTCCTAAAATAATAATAATAATAATATTTTTAGTTCAGAGGTTCGTAGAGGTTGCTGAATTTTGCAGTTTTCGATGACTGGATAACTTACTGGAAAGCAGGAAGCGATCAAAATCTATTTCGTCTTAGATTGGGACTGGACAACCATTTTCTAAGTTCACTTGATGATATAAAACTACACACAGTTATTTATTTGTAGAAATTAGGCAGAAGATTAGCATACAAATGAATAATGTGTTCAGTACCAATATTTTTGTCGACTAATTTATGGAGACGGAGCTAAGAGAAATCAAAAATGGAATCCCGAAAGTAATGGATAATTGTATTGGTTGTTGTTGTGACATCTGTTGTTGAATGACATCTAGAGAGCTATGGAAACAGCAATCATAAGGTAAAGTTAGGTAGAAGAACTAGATATCACTAGCATATACTGAACTGATACATGCTCGGAAACTCATCCCATCTGGCAGTGAACATGATGATGATCGGAGTTAGCTTAAGAGGGTGGTGATAAGAACCCTACACAATCAAAGCGAATAGCAGTGGTTAGGGAAAGAAAGAAAAATGGAAAAGGTGGTGGCGATAGGCAACAGTAGACAACTATTTAGACTTGTCAAGGAAACTGGTATTAGGAATCCGAATGTTAGCGAGACTATCTTGGAAAAAGATGCGACAACTACTCATTCTCAATTCAGGAGGTTGGCCTGATGGGCAGAACATCTTACGGAACAGTTCAACTGGCCTTTAGTCGCACTTCGGTTACCCACGATATTCAGTCAACCTGAATGGCAAGTTGAGGTTGATGGATTAACCTCTGAGATTTTTAAGGATGGTGGTCCAGTTTTAGCAGTTGAATTGACTGAGATCTTAGGTACAGTCTGATGACTGGACGTAATCTCATCCGGCTAGTCTCAAACGCTGATTGACATGATCTATTGGAAAGGAAACTAATACAGTATCTGAAGTATTAACTTCAATAACACTTCAACACCTAACTAGAGCTTGTGAGGAGCAGATTTGAGAAGGTGTCAAAGAAGTACATTTGCTTTGTACAGAATCGCTACTCAAACACTACTTGTAGAGTGAGATCTTATGACGAACAGTCAACGAAATTGATTACTTCAAGTGGTGTTCGTCAGGGTTGCACTTGTTTCTCCATTTTTATCCACCTTTTTCATTGAAATGTCTTTAGAGAAGACACTATCATCGTCTGGCTTTTCAGGAGTTGACCTGTTTGGTGAAAACGCTAACAAAGTGAAGACACTTCTGACCACCTTGAGCAACAGTGCAAGCGTGTTTAGGATGCTATTCTACCCCTCGAAATGCGAAATAATGCTTCAGAATCGGCTTGCGTCGGCACCTGAACTAGTGATAGAGTGTGGAGTAGTTGACAGTGTTGACCACTTCACTCCTCTTGGGAGTCTCATCAGTGCTGATGACCTGGTGTCTGACGGAATCTCGGCACGGATACAGAAGGCTCGGTCGGCCTTCCAACTTGCAGCACTTTTGGCGTAGGAGAGATAACTGTCTGCTAAGCAAAGGACGAGTTTACTGTGCAGTAATTTGCTCCGTCCTACTTTACGGGTGTGAAACACGGCCATTAGGAATATGTGTTATTCTCAGGCCACTAGAATTCGATCACAGTTGTCTCGGAAGCAGTGCTCTTATATCCTTTGACCACCAATTAAGCAATGCTGTTGTTAGAAAAAGGGTACTAGGCAAGCTTGAAAAATTGATCGATGAAGTAGTGTGTTCATCAGTTCAGGTGGTTGAAACCTGTGTTACGAATGCCCAGCCACTAACTGTTTCGACGACCGATGTTGTCTGGTGTAGGGGTAGGCTGGAAGAAATCTAGGGCGGCAAAACCAAAACATGACACAAATCGATGAAGTCACTGACAACTGGACTGAGTCATGTTGGTAAGTGTAGACTAACTGTTTTGGATCAACGAGATGATAGTAATCGATGGTTAGAGACCTTTAACGATATGGCTCGAAATCGTTTGTAATGACTCGGGTACATTCATTCCTCGTCCTTTCTGGAATTTTGATCCTTCAAACACTTCATGACCTTTCTTCTGGTTTTTTGAATTTATTTCACTGTGATATACTTCTCGAATTATATTTTCGATCCCTAATCTTCCCCATTGCTAATAATACTTTTTAGTGGTATACTTTTACGAAGATAACACGATTGCTGAAATGGAAATACTTATTATTGGACTTAATTCTAACAATAATTGTTCTATTGTACTCCTTGTGTTTAACTGTACTAAAGACTACCTCGAGCGCGTCAAGCATGTCATTCCCATTCCATTTCTCTCCTCGGTGGTTCTTAGCCGCTTCTTTATTCCGGTCTTGATATTATTTCGATATCACGAGACCACAGATCAATACACCTATTCATTCAGTACAGTCTTCTTTCTGATTTCTGGATCTATCGGGATTTAAACTTGGTAATCTCGCGAAGAAAAATAAATATCATCTCGCTATAATTTCCATTATCTCTGCTATAGGATTTAAATTGATAATTCAATCTCTTTGTGCTAATTTGGTATGGGACCTTGAAGTGATGTACGTATGTAACAAGTTCTACGTTGTAACTGGCTGACTGAACATCATACTCATTGTTTCAGAAAAGATTATTCTAGTAATGACTAGTCTTGGAAAATATTCTAACTCTAGTCGATTTAAGTCAAAACAAAGCACTTTATGGTTGTTGATATAAATAACTTACTTCATTTCCTCGAATTCTTCTGTTTTGCTGATAAGTTCACGTTCAAACTTTGATTTTAATGCAGCCATATCAGCATTAAACTTAGATACTTGGCTGCGTAAATTACTGGCCTCTTCACTTTCTTCATCATATTTAGCCTGTAAGTTATCATAATCCATTTGAAGTGATGTTAGCTGAGCTTGAAGATTGAAACGAGCCTAAAAGATGGATAGAGAAAAATGTTGAAAATAATCTTTGGATCATTCAAAAGTAGATGATATGAAATTCGAACTGATGCCCTAGTAGTGCTGTCTCACCTTACTAATCCTCATAAATAAATCTACCTGATAGATATTCGTCGTTTTAGTCAATGTTTTAGGTCACTTGTTTAGATAAAAATGTTAAAAATACTTTTTATTTGATAAATTTACCAGTAAATGAGTGGGTCAGGTTAATAAGCCTACCATTTAGTTATCCATAAAATTCTTTATCAATGGTATATTAACATACTACCTGATAGGAAGCACCAGTTGATCGTTGATATGCTGACATACTTCTGTCATGCTATAGACTTTCAAAAAGCTTAATCAAGGAATTTGCCTAGTGTATAGTGCAGTGTAGTATACTTTTGTTTCTTGGTATGTAAGTTGTGTTTTAAAATAACAATGATTCACTTCCACTAAACATGTGAAATAAAATACAACTGGCGTGTACTATGTAATAGCACGTAATAGCACAATTTAGAAACGAAGTAAAACTCAAAACCATTACTCATCACCATTCAAACTGGCAAATATAAAATTATATTTACTTTAGCTTCGTCATCCAAAGATCGTTTCAGATCATCTACTTGACTTTCAAGGGATGATTTAGCTTTTGAATAGTTCAAAATTTGGGCTTCGTAGTCTTGGTTTATGTGCAAAAGTTCAAAATTTTCCGATGTCAATCTCGATTTGGCATTGTTCAATTCAGTTAATTGTCTCTGCAAGTCATCTGTCAATGATTTTAATCGATTCAATTGCCCATCCAATCCTTCTAGTTTGGATTCAGCTGATTGCTATGAAATTAAAATTATAACAGAAAAAACGTCATTGTTATATCAGGACAGATTTAGAATCTCTACTTGTACCTCATGAATTTATTGAATGAGTCACTTGAATTATTGATTTATTAACTTCTGTCACGCCTAATACTCATTAATCTGGAAGTAGCAAGTGTTATACCATCATGGCTTTAAAAGTAGCTGAATTTCATTTGTTTTTTATATTCAGTAAGAAACCTACTTGTTATGGTTTAAGATAAGATAATGGTTAGTTGTATAAAAATTAACGAATTTCATTTTGAACACAGACCATTCCATAATATTTAAATTTATGCGTCATCTTTTGTAGACGAGTATATTTTATATTAATAAGAGTATATTTTAATAATTGAAGGTATTCTTAATGTTTATACCCGTGAATGTAAAGTCCGAAACTTCACAAGTGGCCAACTGTCTACTTCCTTAGCATACATTGAATATACTCAGCCTGAAAGTATCGGATTGAATTACTGAATTCAATTTCAAATGGTTTGGATTATCTTGTTGTTGGTGATTTGGTAGAAATTTGATCAGTCTTAGTTGGCATATGGGCCTTGATATATACCTGTTGCACAAGTGAGTAGCTATTTCGACTCAGTACCTAAATGTATATTGCGATGGTATTCGAAGAAAATGTTACTGGGTTCGAGTCCCGGAATGAACATCGATTCTAAGATGCAAGTAAATCCAGCCAACGATGAGTCCTGAATAGGACGGAACGCCTCCTAAATTCTACTGCTGGCCAGTTTCCTGTTTATTTCATATAATTGAATGATTGAAAGGAATGAGACATAGACCATCCTCAGAGATCTATGTTTATTGGTAACCATCACCAATAAATGTTAACAATCTTAAACAAATTTGTGCTTCTTCTCTGTAGTACAACTTATGTTGTTACTTGGTGTTACAGTCAGAGAAAATTGTTCTGAGAATTAAATACTTAACTTTTACTAGTATATTTATAGAAAACATCTTTTAGTCAACATACAGAAATGTCTGTGTCAGCCATTAGGTTCTACACTACAGTGTTGTATTATAATGTCTTCCTTTAACATGAATTACTCCTTATTTATCAGTAGTTCTATTAGCACAAATACAACATCTTGAATTGTGAAGTTGGATAGTGTGAGTTTGAATCCTACAGAGTGTATCGATTTTCTCAAGATTGCAGATACTGTTTACTAATAAGTGTCGTAAACCATAGAATCTAGGTCCATGCTTTTTACCTACTAACTCCAACTATCTGGTAGACTTCAATGGCTGTCAAAATAGAGGCCTTAACTTCAGCTTCACATTCAGTGGCGCTTACTTAAATTTCCAAAATATTACTGTTTCCAACTTATATCCTTCTGAAAATACTCATCCAAACATATCATTTTAGGATGTGGATATAATATTTATGACGAAAAAATAAATACTCATGATCAAAACATAAAAAAAGACGCAAACTAAGTGGATAAATAGTTAACATGACAAAATTTATTTTTCATATTGATGTGCTGAAGAGTAAGAGCATGAGCATGAATGTTAAATGCTTGAGTGGTAATATTAGCTGTAGTCACAATGATAACAATAATAATAACACTAGTGGTATACAATAACGTAATAAATATGTAAGTCCACTTTCAATGCTAATTAAATATTTAAAATATACAGCATTTATTGTTAGAAGGGATGGTAATAAATTGGGAAATTAATCACTAGCTAATCTTACCACATTCTCAACTGTCATCTAAATAAAAAGGTAGATATTTTTATTAGAAAAATATGAAAGTAAACAAAAACCGAATTGAGAGGGTGATTTGGAATATTTTAATTCAAATTTTTGAAAATATTGTAGGTAATGAATGTTTTAAATTCAATGCCTGGGATTTCAAAAGTCAATACAAACAAGAATCAATGACCTATATACCAATAAATTGACGCTTTTCACATCAAAAATAAAAAAAATAGAACTACTTAGTAGAATAAGTTGTGTTCCGTTTTACATTATTAGAGGTTGTTCGATACTTTCCCTACACTACGAATCAGTTACTAAAATCTAGGAATGGTCTTAATTACACAACTTCTGAAAACAAAGATGCAGTAGGCAGAATTTACCTTTTTAATGAAGTGCCTATCCATGACCTCGCCATGGAGAGTCACCCGACCGAAGCTGCTACCTTGACGTGGTGGTCGGACTTGCCTATCGTGATTACCCAACCGAGCTATATTGGCTGGAACATATGTTCCTGAAGGTTCTACCATGCCAGGCAGGTCAATTGGAGAACGATGAGACTAAAAGCAGCTACTCAAGGTCTGATGGCGAAGTCGTACTGCTGATTGCAGAGGGGTGTGATAGCAGCAAGGTGTTTCCCTCGAACAACCAGCATCTGCAGCGATGCTGTCTTCACACTAGAAAAGAATAGTTCGAAAAGGTCAACCGTAGAAATGTCACACCTTACCCTACCTCACACTAAGGGCTTTTAAACAAGAGCTGAGCTAATACTCAAAAATCCTTTAATAAAAAGGCCGTGCGTTACCGGCCTCAAGCAGTTGTCCGTTGGGCTCTGCGGTCACGCTCCTAGGTCTCTAAGACCGACACTAATCTACCTCCTTTTTCAGGTCCCTCACGAAACAACCTTCCACGATGTGGGCAGCCGGGAAGTGACAACCGCCCTCATACCCATAACAGCACGCGAGACCAAATTAGTCAAAATCAAATCCTTCCTACATCCCCTAATATCTCTCTTCTCTCCACAATTAACTCTACTCACATTCCTTTATCTCACTGCACCGCTAATGCAAACGATGCGAGTTCACGAAACGTTATTCCCGGTCTCCTGAAACCCCATTCTAGATTACATGTTGGGACTTTTAATGTACGGACATTGTTTCAAATAGAGCAACAGGCTTCGTTAGCTAGGACATTAGAATCTCGCTCTAACGATGTACGCTGCGTCTCGGATAGTCGCTTGTGCGCTGTCCAACTGAACGGGACTGAAAGGACTCGGATAGATAGGGACACTTGCCGCTGTCTCTTCGTCGTATCTGCCTACGCTCTCACTGACTTCAGTTCAGACGAGATGAAAGATGAGTTTTACAGAAAGCTTTCGAACCTCCTCTAAGAAGCTAGGCACTCTGATGTAGTAATAATGGCTGGTGACTTTAATACTCAAATAGGTTGATTCAGTAAGCAGGAAAGACACTTAGGTGGATCCTATGGTGTCGCGGCTCAGAGAACAGACAATGGCGACCGTCTGTTGCAACTGTGCTCAGATAACCAACTATTTCTAGTAAACATTAACCTGGTGACCCTCAAAGTCGTCCCAACGTTGGACCCAACTAGACTACATCGCCATCAGCCACCGATGGAGGGGTTCGATAGAGGACTTTCTCTCGTTGTGGGTCACATGTTTAGATTCAGTGCGAGCGCGTATTTGTTTGAGGCTTACTGGAAGTAGGAAAGACACCGCAATGAAACCTCTTTGTGTGCTAACTAATGATATTGTAGCTAAGAATATATTTCAGGAACAACTAGAAAGACAGTTAGGCGACCATGTAAGCGAATGGTAAGTTGACGTAAGTCCTCCGAACCTTTATGAAGTTGAAAAGGCTATAGGAAATCTGAATCTAGGGAGAGCAGCAGGACCCGATAGATTGACTCCTGAGATTTTCAAGAATGGCGGCCAAGTTTTAACAGTTAGACTGACCGAGATCTTAGATAGAATCTGAGAACTGTACGCAATCCCATCCGACTGGTCTCAATCACTGATTGTCCCAATTTATTAGAAAGGACAAACGTCTTCTTGTGACAATCACATGGGAATAGGTCTAACTAATATAGTTTCTAATTTATTAGCCTTGATTATACTTAGACGTCTAACTAGTGCTCGTGAAGTGCAGACTCGAGAAAACCAGGCTGGTTTCAGATCTGGACGTGTATGTATAGACCACATCTTCATACTACGACAGGTCCTGGAACACAGACACGCATTTAGGCGTCTTTTAATAGTTGTGTACCTGGACCTAAAAGCAGCATTTGACTCTGTGGATTGTGAGGTTCTGTGGTAGTGTCTTTCATTGAAAGGTGTACCAAAGAATCACATTAACCGTATACAAGCTCTCTACTCTAAAACTACTGGTCGGGTAAGAGATAATGGCTAACTGTCATCAGAATCCTTTACTTCAAGTGGTGTGCAGCAGGGTTGTCCACTTTCCCCATTCCTGTTTAATTTTATCATAGACGTGCTCCTAAATATAACCTTATCCTCGTACGACCTTTCAGGAGTCAACTTTCTACCAGTTTGCTCGCTTACTGACTTAGAATATGCCGATGACATAGTTCTATTCGGTGAAGACGCTGACAAAATGCAGAGTCTTCTGACCACCCTAATCAACAATGCAAGCATGTTCGGGATGCGTTTCTCACCCTCGGAATGCAAAATGTTACTTCAATATTGGGTCCCATCGACACCTGACTTAGTGATAGGGAGTGAAGTAGTCGAACGTGTTGATCACTTCACTTATCTGGGGAGTCTCATCAGTGCTGATAGCCTAGTGACTGACGAAATTTCAGCAGGGCCACAGAAAGCTCGATTGGCTTTTGCCAATTTATGGCGTAGGCGAGATATCCGTTCGCTAACCAAAGGACGAGTGTACCGTGCAACAGTTCGCTCTGTCCTACTATAAGGATGCGAAGCATGGCCGTTAAGAGTAGAGGACTTTCGTAGGTTGCTAGTCTTCGATCATCGATGTCTCCAAAGCATTGCCCGTGCATTCTGGGACACCCAAGTAAGCAATGCTGTCGTTAGGAAACGAGTTCTAGGTAGAGATGGCAAACTGATCGATGAAGTGTTGAAACTTCATCAGTTGAGGTGGTTGGGACATGTGTTACAAATGCCTAACCACCGACTGCCTCGACGAGCTATGCTTTGTGGTGTAGGAGTAGGATGGAAGAAAGCTAGGGGCGGCCAGATCAAAACATGGCAGAAATCCATGAAGTCACTGACAAGTGGACTCAGTCATGTTGGTAGATGTAGGCTATCTGGTTGGGGTCCGCGAGACGAAAGTCGCAAACGACGACATGGCTCAAAATATTTTGCAATGGCGCAGGTGCATCCACTCGTTGTTTTCTTTCAAATTCTAACCTTCTGAATTCCTCATCACCTCTATCTTTCTCTTTCTAGATTTACCTCACTGACTTATACTTTTCGACTCATATTTTACCACTAAACTAATATAAAATGATTCAACTCTTCCAGCCTAAATATTTTCTCAACGGAACCCAATTACTGATTAATAGTAATATTCTTCTAGTTCTACTATTCATGAACCGAACATTAGCATATTAGTAGGTAACTGATCGAGATAATCCATGCAGCATCTAAATTATATGTTCAACCGTTATTAATACAAACTCCTTAACAGTATGATGAATAAATTGATAAAGTTATGGTAAATGAAACTATAATTATCGACTGAGGCCCACAGGTTAAACAATTGCGATTTAAGTAGTTTTCTTTCATTTATTTTCAACCAGTCAGCAATACTTTGAAGTCTTTCGATATACACATGGAAATTTTTATTGTAGATTCAGAAAAAAATGTATGAAACTTTTCCCGTTATCGATTGTCGTTCCGATTAATAGAAATTTTGCATCCAAATAGAAAAGTTAGGTACATATATTGTGTAGTTCCTTTTATTGAACATTTGAACCTTTAGTTAAGTAACATGTAATTACACACATGAAGAGAGAGGATAGACATGCATTGGGTAGGAAAACTTACATTTTCATCCCCGAAAACATGTCACCTTGCACTACTGAGTTTTATCCCTAACTTTAGTGTGTAGGCGCATAGGCAAGAATTTGGTATGTGTTTATACTGATTCTGACATCAGCACATTCCTTTGTCATGTAGTGTGCTTAATGTTTGTAGTTAAACTTAAATAGTAAAAATACTGAATCGAGTTGCCATATATGGTCATCTCTGGACGAAAGTAAGCAGGATAAAGTGAAAGGAACAAAATCATCTTAAGGTCTGAAGTATACTTTATATACATGGATCTAAGCACCGATATTTTAAATGTTCCTTGTAAAGGCGCATGAAGGAAAATAGTTTTTCAGTCATATGTTATTATCTTGTAATAATTATGACTATCGGAGAACAGTGCTATTTAAAACAACATTCAAACATTCTGAATGTGGCCGCACTTACTTTACTGTCAGCCCAACTATGTAATTGTTCACAAAACACTAGCACAATGAAAAATAGGTAATCTAATGAATTTTATGGATTTATGCATGGACTGGAATTTTGAATGCCAAAATTAAACAACAATTTACTTGGGAAGTAAAATTTTTGCTTATTCAGCCATAACATTTATTATGAAAGATTATTTTCCTTTATTGCAAGCCTGTTAATTCCTTTTCAACTAGGATGGCTCAAGGTTGCTTAAATCATGTAGGTAAAAAGGAAATGAGTTCTTCAATAAAGGTAGAGTATTACATGAATCCAATGAAATATTTGTTAAAAACAGATTACTAGGTGATTAACTCTGATAAAGTTAAAATCATTCACTACTCCATGCACTCGATGAATTTTTAGGTTGAAAATCAATATTCTAGGGTAAAGTATTTGATTAATAAGCTACTATGCACTACTTTTTAAGTGTTAGATTTGGGAAAAAAATAACGCTATGTTCATCGGTATTGCTATGGTACCAGTGGACTGCCGTTTAGATGAACTTTTTTAAATTATTAACCTATTGGATTAATATCGCCGAGATGTGTAGGAAGAAAGAAAATACTGATATGAGTGCTTCAAAAAATAATTATTGAGAAAAGGATCGAAGTAGGGCTTAAAAAAACCAGTTGTTTTTGTTTGATTAGGATAATGATATTTGCTGCCAATGAAAAATGGTTAAAAGGTGATTATGATTGTTGTTTTTTTAAATTTGCATAGATTTAATTATATTGGGATAGTGTATTAATGAATATAAAATACAACACATACCTAATATATTTAGTCAAATAACTATCTATGAATGCACTGAATAAAAATGGTATATAGCTAAGAGGAAAATTTAATTGAGCATACAAAAGATAGACAGAGTTTTCCTTTTGCTTATCAATAGATAATTCAATTATATCACAATACAAATAATAGTTAGTATATTATATAGTTTGATCAGTAAGGATGACAAAAAAAAATTAGAAAAACTTACAGTTTGAGTTGTAGAACCACCAGCTTCATCTAAACGTTCTGACAGCGCATCAACTTGAAAACCTAAATCAGCTGCATGACGTTCAGCCTTTAAAATCAAAAATTATAAAAATGGTACAATGATCTATAATTTCAAATTCATAAAAGTTTAGACAATTTGAAGAATTGACTATTACAGTGATTTAAAGTAAATAAAATCAAGCCAACAGAAGAATATAAATATCGTATTGAAAGCTGAAACTCAATACAAAGCACATTATATAGTTAGTTATATTATATATTTTTGCAATGATTAATGTATAACTACAAAAATCACTTTATTTTACATTGAACTTATCAAGATTAATATTCTGATAATTTGTAAATATAGACATTCATTCTGTTTAGTTATTTATTTCTATGATATACTACTCACTGAACAGAAATCACTGCAACAAATCCATACTTTTAGAAATATTAACAGATTAATTTGTGAAACAGAAATGAACTAATATTAAGTTGTTTTTTTTGTATGTGAATAAAAGAAAAACACTTTATTATTCAATGGTTCATTGTATTTATTGATGTCTAATTAAAATTATTAATTTAAAAATTCCTTATTCAGACAATAAAAGATGGAAAAAATTCAACATTCAATACAAGTTGAATAATATTTACATTTGATAATATTTTTTGTTCGAATAATAAAAATATACAGAAAATAAAAATGTCAAGTAATTAATCACTTGAACATTGAATGAACTTATAGTAGCAACTCAGTATGATTATCAAATTTGAAAGCAAAAAAGAATTTATTACTTATAAGAATATTGTTGTTGTTGGTGTTGTTGTTGGTGTTTTTCAATTAATATGAGCACATTCTACCGTTTTAACATAAAATTGTTTAAATTGTGATCAAGATAGAAGACATTAAGAAAGAACAAAAAAAATTGATTAATAATTTTTTTGATTATATTGATTGTTGAATAGTAAGTAATCAAAGTAATCAAAGAATTATGATTTATATGATTGATGATTTATTAAGCGTATACTATTATTATAGTGTCATTTCATTGCGAATTCAATCCGGTAAAGTTTGGCGAATAATTATAACCTCAACAAGTGATTTAAAATAGTCATTAAAATGTTTCAACTTTTGTACATTCAAATTGTATCACCAATATGATGTGTAATGTTAATTGATAAGTGAATCAAGATGTTTACTGCATTAAGATTAATATAGTTTAGAATAATACAGAAAATGATTGCATTAAAAAGCTTTGATCTAACAGGTATTTATTATTTATTAAAAATAAGGAAATATAATTTCAAAATATTGACTAGTAAGAGTCAAACTTAGATAAACACAGTTTTGAGGATGTTGAATAGTTATTTTACTAATAAAAAGCTTGAAAATCATCATGATAACAGTTATTCGAGAAAAAGCGGTCTGTTTCTGAATGAATTTTCAGGAAATCATATTAGCTAAACTATGTGTTCTTTATACTGAGCACACGAACTCAAGTCATAAAAACCTTCATAAAATTTAGTACTTATCAGTGTTAGCCCTTTCAAATACTCCGTATTTTCAGCAATATACTTCTTTCATCTCCGTTTCAATTAATTAAGAACTTCCTAGAAAGCCATTAAAAGTCATATTTAACATTGATGTTATTATTTTTTCACTATTTATCATCTGCACATCATCAGAGTGTTGTTGTGATGCATATGACTATTGTTTCATCTGGGAAACAGTAAGAAATAACATGGGTTCGGATAAAAACTTTTCATAACACTATTTCCTTGAAAAAGTTTACAATCTATTTTGTGCTTACATCTTAGCTATTAATTGTTTTTATAAGGTCAACTCATGATTTGTAATTGTTTAATATTCAGTATTAATCATTATAAATTATAAATCTTACAAACATAACTGAATTTCATTTAAAGATTAAAAAATCTGTTTTACCAAATTAATAAATAATAAATTTTATGAACATGTTTACCATCATTTTGACATTATGGATTTAAGTGATTTTCTTAAACACCCCTTTGATTGAGACTTCAAAATAATAAGGGAGGAGAAATTTTAAGGTTCAAATCATTTTAAAAATAAATAGATTTTTAAATCTCCACAGTTCCGTATTTCGTTTTCTGTTACATAAAGAAATTTACTAAAGCTTTTTCAATGAAAACATTGGAATGGACTACACATTAAAGGTAGATATTGATGTAACAACATTTTCAGGTTTAAATACATTACAACGTTAATTATTAGAACATTGAGTTTCAAAGTAAAGTAGCTAATCAGGTAATCAAACGGAATGTTAATAGATTTTTGAGATTATGAACCTCGATTACTACTAGGTTTAGACAACTGTCGTCATGTCTTGGCTAAAATAAGATTTACTGTGTAGGTGACTAAATTTACACATCAAATACCCGATTGCCTATTTAAGTCTCACTAAATGTTACAATTTAAAAAATATCACTTAATAAAGTGTACCTTTAAATGATTCAGACATATTATTTCATGTTGGAAAAATTAAAGATAAATGTAGATATTTTCATTAGTATTAGATTTTTGTTTCACTAAGAATGATAAAATGGTATCCCGGGTGAAACTAAACTATGGATGATGCATATACAGAAAAATGATATCGACTGATAAAAACTACTAAATTGTAATATAAAACCCATTTGCACATACTAGATAAATAATGAACAATAGTGGTAAAAAGATATTTTGTATTTCAATTGTTTACATCTGTTGTTTAGCCTCAGCTTTTGGAAAATAAAAAAACTTCACATTTGTGAAATAAATAAAATTTTAAAGTGGAAAGTTAATTTACTGATCAATTTTCGTTGATAAATCAAGTGTATTTTCGATGTACTTCAACAAGCAACAGGTGATAACATATTAAACATTCATTGTTTCGAATCTTGTCTAATTACCATCTCCATATTAAAATGCTGTTTTTACATTCTTATAACGTTTTTTTCAGGATAGTAGCTTAAAGTTTTGTAAAGAAGTATATATTAATCATATATATGAGATTCAAATCACAAAATAACTCATTACTAGGATTATTCTTTATTAATTAATATTAATATTAAATGACTGATTTTAACATCATAAATTACTTACAGGTTTGCAAGTCGTGAATTGAAATTAAGACACTTATAATTAACTAGATAAGATGACAAAACATGTACTGTGAATAGTTAACATGTTGTAAATATAAAACAACCTGATTGAGAATAAAATCAAATTTTTTAAATAAGATTATCGAATACCTACAGTTGTTTTTCTCTTGTTTAACTAATAAAATGACAATATCATAGTGAAAAGACTTACTCGAACTCTAGCATCACGTTCTAAATCCAATAAATCTTCTAATTCACGAACTCGACTCTGTAACAATGAAAATAGTATAAGCTTTAATGAATTTACTTGTAAACTATCATATACACTCTACTTAATATGTAAACAATCATACAATCCTTAAATGAAAAATTATTATTCATATGAGATTTGAACAGAATGAACATTTAATATTTTTAAAAAGTGCTTACATAACTAATTAAAGAACTCAATCAGTTATAAAATATATTCATTAAAAAGTAATTACTTCAAGTCTTGTTGTACTTGGTGATACTCCTCGATATATAGTTCTCGAAATTTTCACATGTGATTCACTATCGTGATTCATCATTTCACTTGAACTTTAAAATAGGAAAAATTTAAATGAATTAAAAAATCATGTAATCACGTAAAACAAGTGAACAAACTTGAAATGATATTTTAATGTGATTTAAGAGATTAACTTTCATTAATAATCATAATAATAATAATGATAATAATAATAATAATACAAAATAATCTAAATTCAAATTATTTTTTATAAATACTAAATGCACATACTGTATATTAAATCTGTACCGAAGCTATCACTACTTCAAAATGTTTGATTAACACAAAGAAACAAGTGAATTAAGATTAAATACTAAATGATAAAAATAAACTAGCTTACATAAGATGAAAGATTGTTATGTTGAAATTAAAAAAGTGAATATTTATGGAGGTGGAAGAATGGGGATTACTAAATCTACACAAACATTCTAGTAAGATAGACAGACATACATTCTAAACAATTATATTTTTGTACACAAATTCAAACCCATCGGCAAATACCAATGCACAACAATACTACACGTAAACGTGTCAGTGCACTTTTAATTTACCCTTCGATGAAATGGGATAACTCGACTGTTTGAAACAGTACATACATTTTTAAATATAAATAAATCCCCCTATGCGTTTTTCAAACCAATCAGAAATGTAGTGCAGCAGAGAATGAAAACATATTTGAATGTTAGTATTCATCGAAAATTCATTAATGAAGTACAAAGATATTATTAGTTCACACAACAATATTAATCGATCCTCTCAAACCCACCTACGTATGTCTTAGTATATCAAAAAAGATTCATTTGCACTTCTAAAAATAATCGAACAGGTAAAATTAAATGACAGAAAATTAACCGGCAAAACTACAATGGAAATGCTTTATGCTACTTTACTTTCATATAAAAATATTTAAAAAAATTGAAATATTAACAAACTAAACATTGATTTGTTTGTGCTTCTGTGAATTTTATTCTATACTTCACAGTTGTGCAGTTAATATTGTCCTGTTTGTGTATTATACTATGAAATATTGTTATCGTATCATTCCTTTTGCATATAAATGATATCCTCAGATTCTGACCTCATTTAATATTGAATAATGACAATGGTAGTAATTACAAAACCATTAATAGTAGTAATTAAGAAAGAAAGATGGAAATTTTGCCTTTCATTCAAATGAACTATTCTTTTCCTTGCCTACACAATATTTTATAGTTATACAAATATCCATAAACAAGAACAAATGCATGAAAAGGTTAGGCGCTATATTTATGAATTCAAATTGATATCAACTGAAATAAAATAAGATTAGACATACTGAAAATAATTAGTCCCTTTAATCAATTTAGATAATGAGAAGAGATAATAAACTTCGTTTTCTAATCTCATTATCCAGAATTAAATAAATTATTACGAAAATACCATAGCAGGTAAATAGATATGTTTAGATTCAACTTTTACATTAATCTTGAACAGACTGTGTTAATTTCCTATCGAATGACCAATGTACATCAAAAATGAGTTCTGACAGTTGTTAGAGAGAAATTGTTCATCAGTTCATAAGTTTTAGAAGTAATAAACTGTTTTTCACGAATATAGTTAACTTCTCTAATGAAATCATACTGAGATGAATAAGAAATTTTATGAACTGCACTTTGGGATAATGTCTGATTGGTTTTGATCTACATTTAAAATAATATGTTTTAAAGTTGAATAAGACCAGATGTTTTAAATTTAAAATATTCTTTGATTAGAATTCAATAGCATATGATTTTTAACATTCTGACTAACTTTTTTAGCTCTAGTTTAACTAATGATTATAGATCACAACTGAAAATCATTTGAAATATCAGTGATCAATGGCTATCTACTTTAAACTTTATTTGAAATCCATGCTATGTCGGTTGCCTCCAATCATCAAACGCAATACAGACGATATCTAGTTACTAAGACTACCGACCACAGTACAACTTATTTGGCAGTTACTGTGCTAGGGGTCACTATTCAATGATTATTCAATGTAAACTAATGAGACTTAGAATTTTCAACGTACAAATAATGATAACTTTTATTATCTTCAGAACTCTTGTGACCATCAAGGAACACTCAATAATTTTTCTACACCAGACTATTGGTAATTAACTAACAGTGTGTAATGAAAGAAGATCTGAAGTTTCTGGTGCAAACATTAAATAATCATGAAGTCTAAAGACCGAAGATTACTATGTAGGCAGTGTCCAAAATTCTACGCTAGTGAGAACTCCAACCGTAACTGATATCATTTCAGAAAATTATGTTTTACACTATCCAAAAGTTGAATGCTTTCCAAACAGAAATGACGTTTATTCTTCCAAACAGCAATCTAGCCTGATAAACTTCTCACTTTCAGCAGGAGGGCTATGCCTTCATAGATTTGAAATTGTTGTACATACTAAAGATCCTAACCTAACTTTTGATGGTAGTCCGTTTTATTTGATGCCCTAGGATTATGATAAATGGCATATTAATTAAATTTTGGTCCATATCATTCACATACACAATCACCTAATCTTTGCTCCAGTCTCATAATTAACTCATATTTGAGAGGTAGTAATCAGTATCCAATATACAATATCTTTTTCACGAGCTATTATAAACCAATTGATTTATTTGCGCTCGATTCTCGATCTTTCGGTACGGTTCCAGGTGTTCGAAAATGTCCCATGAATGAGTGGCTAACCACTCGACCGTTTAATTCTAGTCAGTTGACTGTTGGTTGTGAGTTTGTATGTCTCGGGATTTGAATGAAAACGTTTGTTTCAGGGCAGTAGGGTTTCTGGATACTGGCACCCGTCACATTACCAAACCGGAGATCAGTTAGTAGCAATGTGGAGAGTAATAAGGCTAATAAGGATAAAATTATAATGATAATATGAATAAAATTTCAGAGCTGAGTAATGTATAGATGAATTTAGTTTATTAATTGGTAGTGAAGATTGTGAGAGAGGACCGAAGTGTAAGCAAGGGAGAGGAAACAGAGATGAGAGGCGAGATAGATTCAGTAAGTGATCTGAGGAGATAGCAATGGCAACAACTATCAAGTCTCAAGGTATGCATCATGAACAGCTTGTCCAAGAGGTAAATGATAGTCCGTATGTGAGTAGGTGATTATCAGGTCTCTTCTTAAAGCTGTCTACTGAGGGGACTGTGGTCACCTCGGCAGGGAGAGCATTCCAAGTTACGACGACTCTCAATGAGAAAAAGTGTGCGCGAACCTGAGTTATTCGCTCTCTGATGTGCAAGGACTGCTTCGAGGGGTGGTGGTGATGCATCGATAAGATGCTCACGTTGTCGGGATTTGGCGTGCTTAATATGTTGCACGCCATAACTAGGTGACCTCTGATTCTCCTGTAACTCAGTGGAAATAATCCCAAGTGCTGGAGACTATCGTCGTAAGGTTTATTTTTCAACCCTATCACCCATTTGGTTGCTCGTCTCTGCACTCGATCCAAGAGATTAATGTCTCTTCCAAGCATACGGGGTGCACTGACATTGTGAACCTCCAGGTGTGGGAGCGCATACGTCCTAAATAGTGTCAAAAATAATAATAATAGAAAGAGGCGTATGCATTAGCAAGATATTTATGGGTGTATTTATTGAGAAAACGGCACATAATCTCCGATTTATTTAAAAGATTTATTGAAAATCGCAAACGTTAAAACGAAATTCTAGTGAATTACAGTTATACTAAACTCTAGGTATGCCTCAACATAGATGGATTAAAGCATGACTAGGTTAGCTGCGCGCTGACTGGCTAATCCCTAATCAATCAGTGCTAGTCAATCACGCGGACTGTGGAGATGGCATGACAAACTTATTTTGTAAATAGTTTTTGATACTATTTGTATTTATTTTGTTAATTTTCACAGCTTGTACATTCACTATGAAATTGTTGTACATTTTGTTTAAGTGTGTGTCCTTGAGGATATCAGGCGCACTTACTGCTTCCATTTTTCCGTTCACTGTACACATAGCACGGCACTCACTGCCGCACACTATCAAATACACTTTATACACACATTTCGCGTTCTCAAATGTTTATTGGAACACTGTATGGAGACTAATACATATATTATATACTTTATAGACTGCAGTCACATACATATACTACTCTACGAACAGTTTCTATATTTGCAACATTAACATTTCTATCATTGTGGAACCATTCGACAAACCCCGATCGAACATGCACCAGTAGCTGCATAAAGTAAGGTTCTTATATTTTTATTGCATTTATCACATTTAACTGATTTATTTCAATATACATTTACTGATATTCGATAACTTTCTTAATATTTTGAAATAATATATTGACTGGTCCACCACAGGACTAGATTCCAGAAGCTTCTCATGTATGAACTATAAAGATACTGGCGTTGGTTCTATTTCGCCTTTGCTTCGGCTTCTTACTTCCATTTAACCTCGATATTTGGAATATAATCTTTTCCTGTTCGACTGTGTTTTGACTTGGGAACCTGTCGAGTAAATTATTGTCATAGAATGCTAAGCAATAGGAATAGCTGGGTTTACTAAGACAGATTAATAACACTTCTTAATCAACATTTTTTCACTGTTAAGGGGTGTGATCAGAAGACTGTATTATTTCAACGTCTTTACCACATGGTACTTATCAACCTCCTAGCAGAAGATCTGATTTTATTTATTGGTAACTGTGATTTAGTGGCCCACGACTTGACTGCTGTGTGGAAGAATGATCCGAGTGTGCAATGAAATAAATCCTTTCTTCCATTTACGTATATTATACTTAGCCAAAAATCATTTGCGCGACGGTGGTTATACAAAGCCAAAAACGGTATCGCGGATGAATTTATTTCATGCAATCACTTTTTTTCTAATTTAGCTGTATCCACAATAATTCACCAGATCTTTTGTCAAAACGCCGTCGCCGATTGTCACACTCGTCTCTAGGTATTCTTAAACTGTTACGGATTCACCTTAGTCGAATAACGAGAACAAAACAATGAG